GGCTACCGACACGTGTAGTTCAGAAACACTCGAGAGTGAGAAGGACCGAATTAGGAAAACACTTCCTTCGAATAGTTACCCTGAACTTTTCATCAAAAAGCACACCATGACCTGTGGCACTTTAAACTCGTAACAACGGTTTCAAAAAAGGATGTGTTTCTCTCTATTCTTTTTAAGGAAGATGTCGCCTTCGAGCACATGAACAGGAGACTTTCTAATGCCGTAGCCAGGACCTACCTGGCCGCCCACCCGCATGTATTTGCGGAGTCCGCACCCTTTATAGATCAACGTCTTCAAGACAGACTGCCAGTGTTGTCCGAATCGTACATTATTTACCAGTTTACATGCACTTGTGGTGTCAAGTTCCTCAGACATATGAGCAGGCGTCTGTCGGTACGGATGGCTGAGCATTGTACAGGGTCATTGCGTAGAGGTATGCTCAAAACTATGGACAGCTCGATCTTGGAAAATTTGCCTCAAAGTGGGCATCAGATTTTTGACCAAAGATGCCTTCAAGATTTATTACGCCATGTCAAGGCGATACTTGGAAGGGTTCAGGAAACGCCTTTTGCAGACGGCTGAAGCCATCGCGAACAGGCTAACACCAGTGCTTGTGCTAACACTAGCAGAAGCAATGACGGAACTTTGGTATTTATGTCAATCGTGTGAAATAGCATCGCTGTTTTACTTTTCCATGGGCATTATCAAGAAATAACGAAGGATTCTTCCAAATCAGTTTTCTTAAGCAGAAAGTTTATGTTCACTAAAATTGGTACACATATGGACACATGGATTGAACGGAATTCGGCGGTGCAAATGTGTTTACCCCTAAGTGAATGACATGATCCTGAACGTACGTACAATAGGGTTGGGGAATAAGTCAAAAACCGGTTGAGGACTTTTTATGTGAACATTTGGTTCACCTAGACCAACTTCGTCAATCGCTAATCGGCATGTATCGGAATCAGTCTGTACCAAAGGAACAGTTACAGAGACAGAAAGCATTTAAAATGTGCAAATGTGCCTTGTTTCTCTGTGGACAGTAAACAGACATTTGGGTCTGAAAGTAGCTTGCTTTGAAACGGAACAGTAAGAAATTCGAAGAATCTAACAATGTGAATGTCTGCTCTTGTGTTCCCCTCAAATCACATCAATGAAGTGAGTTTGGAATTCGTATCCTCGTGGCACATTGGTGTTTCAACTAGAAGTAATGTTTTAGGCGGCAACGACAAATACAGATATCAATCAGCGGCGAATCAGAACAAACGATCCGCTTATTCGGCAGGTATTGGTGAAGTGCATGATATCCTATTCCTCGCTCCACACCATCACCTCCCGAATGACCGACAACCTGCACCAGGGCAACAGAAGTGGTTTAAATGCGGAGTCAACTTTCGGCTCAAACTGGCACCGGTCAGTAGTGGGGTTGAAGATGAATGGAGGTGAACCAAGCACAAGGAGCACAATACGTTCGGACACTTGTAGGCATCTGCGATGGCGATCTAATGGAGTCTCACTGCGAATACCCACAGAGTTGGGGAATGAACCAGTCGACGACCACAGACGCTCAGGCCCAATATGATGGAGCAGATGTTGGAGAACGATTAGCACAATAGCGGCCAGAAAATGCAGTTGGGCTCGTGAAGCACCGTGATCTTGTATGGATACGCAAGAGATCACACGAAAGTGAGCAGTTGTCAGTCAGTCGGAAGAGCACAAATCGAGGGAAACGCTGAGCATGACGGACGGAGTTGAGCGCACGGCCAATTGGTCTGAGGGCTTCCTATTGTGAGTCACAGTAAACACGTAACTTAAAGGACGTGTGAGTAGACTTCCTCAAAGGAGAATAACAGAGACTTATTGGTAACGGAACGTGGGAGTTCCGATGGAAAAAGGATTATCACAATTTTGCGTTCGGATAGTAATTGAGCAAACGAGTTTACTCGATAAACCACATGCACGGGAAGCGACTGCGATAAGACGGCACGGCGAGACGAGGGAGATCAGCAAATGGCGAGCTCGTTGCGACTGGATGTGCAACTCACACTAGTTGAGATTAAAGAAATGGCAAACGGTACTCATAGGCAGCGCATTATAAAAGCGATTGTTTGTTTATAAAATCCAGTGATCTCCAATGCGACCGTAAGTATTTAAAGAAACGGTGGTTCGAAATGCTAATGCTCTCTTCGTGAGAAATGTTGGCCGCCAAACGGCTATGAAAGACAAAAGAACGTCTCCAGACGTACAAACAATCCATCGTGGTGATCCTACCTGAGTTGAAGGCTACTCTTGATTCTAACAATCACACTGCTACTTGGCGATGACTGATCCTGAAGTGCGCCCAAAAATTCCTTTTATTCTGGAGCCTCTATGCCATAACTCAGGTTACCGAGAGAAGATCTATGGATAAATTTCCTTTGAGTGCATCAGGGCCTTCCTTTCAGTTCTGATCAACTTCATGAGAGCTACCTCTCCTGTTCTGTTCAGCAATCAACTGTCAAACATAGGGTCCGCGAATCACAGCTCATGTTGGATCGAATTTGCAGACAATGCAAGCGCTACTGGATTGACAGATGCGTAACGCTGCATGCTCAGACACGCGACTTGCACCTCGAAATGCAAAGTACTTTACAGGCATCAACAGCTCCTATGATCACCGAAGAGATCTACCCTTGTAAATCCGGCTGTATCGGTTTGTTCACATACGGGACGGTGTCGATGAACTGAGGGAGATTTGCAGCCACTTGACCGATGGAGATGTATGTTTGCTCAAAATGGATTTTCAGTGTAAATCACAAAGATACACTGGAGTATGTCAGCCAGACTGAGAGATGCATCAGGTCTCAGATCTATGGCTCATACTTTTGTCAAAAGTGATCTGTCACAGAAAGATAAATCAAAACTACTTCTGCAGGCGCCCAGCATGATTGAGTAGGATAGCGATGAGACAGTTATATTACTGAACCTGCGGTATGATGCACAAATAAATCGTTCGGATGGGGGGGGGCAAGAGTAATGAGGACGAATTGAACTGCAGCGCCGGTACGCAGTGCGCTCTAGGGTTCGATACCAGTACGACAGAAGCATCGACTCAGTGTCATCCCTGGAGTTCCGAATGTACAGTCGGTTCGGTCAGAGAAATTCGAAGGAGCTTCCCTCAAACAATAAAGCGTTGATCTATCAATGCCTGTTCCACTTCAGAAAGACAATGGAGCAGTGTGCACTTAGTGATACCGTCTAGTGGAATTATCGGTTGAATGCATGACATACATAGGCAGTAAGATGGTCTTTAGATTTCAGCTAGCAGCATTTCACAGCACTGTTTCTCTGTTTGTGTACCGACATGCTAACATATGCACGTCAATGGGCGATTTCTAGGATCTCGGCTGTGTTCACTGTGTCCTACCATAATCGACAACTAGCGACTCCGACATACAGCATGTGTAGCTGTTTGTACACATACACACACACACACACACACACACACACACACACACACACATCTAAGTTGCTGGTTATTGTACTCAAAAAGCCTACTTTGTTTCACAGTAGCGCATCGGAATAGAAAGAGGTTAGACGGTCTTCACTGTATACGCATCAAACCGTATGACAGAGGATACCAACATCTTTATTGGTTACTGTACCACATTCTAAACACTATCCCCCTCAAAGTAACCCCCTCTACTGAGAGCAAACCGTTCTCAACGGTGCTTCCACTTATTCGAAAGCTTCATGGGACGCACTTTCAGGGATGGCGGGCAAGTCATTTGTCGCATTGTCCTGAATCTCCTCTAAGATTGAGAAACGACGTCCTTTACGCGTAGTCATAAGTTTGGAAAACAGGAAAGTCTGCTGGGGCTAGGTCAGGAGAATATGGTGTTCCCCTAGATGTGTGAGCCGGCGCACTGTCAGAATGCCATATACAATTCTGCTTTTCCCCATTTCAAACCTTTTCCTGCCCACAGTAGCCATCAAATGTGCTAGAGTTCCCTGGTAGACTTTCTTGGTTGCCATTTGGCCACGTGATACAAATTCCTGATGGAGTATGTGGTTGCAGTCAAGAGACACAACCAACATCATTTTGGTTTCGCACCGACTCGTGCGTACTTTTTGAACGATGAGACTGCACCTTCGTTTCAATAGCATAGTAATGAATCCACGTCTTATCGTTCGCTATTGTGTTCTGTGACAGTGTCAAGCATTTCCTGGTTGATTTGAACATCGTCCAGTCAACATGAATTTTGCACTAACACGACGCATTTCAAGTTGGTCACAAAAAAATTGGCAGATTGATCCCACGCTGACATCCAGTTTGTCAGCAACTTCACAAACAAATAAATGATGATTTCCACGGATCAGGGTACGGACTCTCGGCACGGTCATCGTTTGCTAATATGGAAGGTCGACCGAGCTTGGGATATTCACCGACCGGGGTTCACAACACTTAAACTAGTTATAGTATTGTGTGCGACTCATACAAGCTAAGCAACTATGTCTCCGTAAAAATGTTTCCCAGTTTGTACATAGGTCGTTCTTTAAAGTTTTTCATTATTGTTTTGTTACGTGCAATTTCTCACTTCAATGGCTATGAGTCGCCAACTAACGATCAGAGCGAAACGAGGTAAAGGATAGTTGTTGTTTAAACATGCCTCTATGTGCGATCAGCAGCCGCAGCGTCCTACCTCTAGCGATTGGTTCGCTATTTCAAAAGTTCGCTTTCTTTTTGAACATAGTAGTATAGCTCGGAGCCCATCCTTACAGCCAAATAAGACGCGTGTTGCAACCTCAACTCTGTTTTGCCAACAGTAAGGCAAATTTTTGAGTATTGCGCGGCACACCTGTAGAACCTTACCTCAGTTAGCGTTCGCGTCGTGTCTGACTATGTCAGTATGCACAGAGCGCAACTCCCTCGCCAACCCAGACCGGAGAATGACTCTGTAGTATGTCAATCAACCGTCCTGTCATGCGACTAAATAGTGAGCTGAGAGATGTGCAATAATTCATGCAGCAGCACAGAGTAAATAAAAAAATGTACTCACCATATCTGTCCCGAGATCAATGCACAAAATGGTTATCGTGCCAAGCGGTAGGGGTACATCGGCCAGAATGTATACCAGGAATGGCGTAATCTCAGGAATGTTGGAGGTGAGTGTGTAGGCGATTGATTTCTTCAAATTGTCGAAAATAATTCGTCCTTCTTCCACACCAGTGACGATGGATGCGAAATTGTCATCCAACAAGATCATATCTGCTGCTTGTTTGCTGACATCGCTACCCGAAATTCCCATGGCAACACCTGTTAGGAAATATATCAGACAGAGTCGGAGGAGCCATAAGGTAGCCACAACCACAGAGAGGAAAAACGAAAGCATCGACAACGAGGCATTCTCAATCTAGACAAAGGGAAGCGGATTCATTAAGTGGGTCCAGATAATTTTATTGGAGCTATGTTGACAAGTGCCGAGGTTCTAAGCGCGGTGTTTGGAAAGCAAATTGTTGATTGACAGGCAAACTCAAAGATAAAGGTGAACTTAAGGCTATGTGACACAGCAGGGCAAAGTTTGATACTTGGCAACTCAAAGTCAAATGATATATCGCTTAAGCAATTGTGAAAACATGCAGAACTATATCGTAAACTACTGAAAACGGAAGGTGAACTAGTCGGTTAGGAATCGAAAACGTGATCAACTCTAATGATGTACAGACAATCTACGACGGCCAGAGGGACGAAATGGGGCTTGCTGCTGGCAGAATGCACCTAGGTGATTGCCACTTGGGGTGGGGCAGGAAAAATCCGCATTTCACATTGCACCAACGGCACATCGAAGCAGCTCGCCCCTGTATACCAAAGTCTGTCACCGCACCTAAATTGTTTCGATACAATCCGTTTTCAGCGGGACTGCAACCCCCATTCGCGCTACTTGCGCCCTGTTTAGTAAATTGGGTTTTGTTATCTTTCCTTGCATCAGTCGTATTGTTTTCTTTGTTTAATTATCTGCATCGCTTTCGCGCGGGTGGTAAAATGGTTCAAAGGTTTGGCGTGTAATCCACAAATCGCCGGCCCGAGCCCCCGTAGGCCTAGTGACTTCACAGCAATCCAGCCACCGTGCGGTCTATGGTGGCCGCGTGGAAGCGACGCGTCAATATAAACTCCCGGTATGCAACTGATAAGTGCATCTACAAGTGTTGCTCAAATTATTCATGCACATTTTGATCATTCTCAATGGATTTTTATCCAGGAAGAATACAAGTGAGCCACACTAATATAAACAACTGGTCAATCAAACTTGGTACCTGAGATATGCTCGGACAGTCATGCGTAATAACGAATGTCGTGACAAGCATTGTCTACGGAACTCCAGGGGATAGTGTTGAAAGTGTCTGGTGGCAGCCATTACACGCCTCGGATCAACAAGCCCACCATTCCGATGTGTCTACCTAAAGAAATAAAACGATGACGACAGCGGAGAGCAGTGCAGATGCGGTCCTAATGCTAGAATGACTGAAGTTCACTTCAAATTGCAATGAAAGGCCCTAGCATCAACAGTACGCCGGCACAACGCCTCGACGCTTCGCTGCCAAGTGATAATCAAAAGTCGCGCGCGTGCTGGGCATTCTGCAAGGTCGCCCGCACTTCGCAGACTTGAACCGATGACTTCCGGACTGCAAGGCAAACGCATAATCCTTCCGGTCACTGGCCAGCTTGTGGAGCTCAGAGGCCTAGAGATTAAGGAGTAAGCCGTCAACTCCAACGTGCCGAGTTTCATACCCAGATACGGTTATCTTCAGGCCAGGAAGAAGCCAACCTCGGAGTGCACCGTTGACGGAGAGACACCTAATGTGTCAGCTGTATGTCATAACGGCGCTTCGCTGCCGCGCGACCAACAGTCGCGCACAGGATGAGTATACCGCGAGGACGCCCAGCCCTACGCGGATTCGAACCGGTGACCTTATGATTGCAGGCCAGACGTGCAGACCACTCGGCAACCGGCCAGGAGAGATACCTAAGATCAATCTAATTCGGTAAATTTTGTTTGTTTCTCTCATAACAAAGTTAGCACCATTATCGTTTTCATTTGTAGGCAATGCAATGCCAAACTGGTATTTCGTATAAAAGAACACACTGTTTCCAATCCAAATCACCGTAGAACATTACGGTTAGCGAAGTTGGGTGAAGTGCAGGACGGTAATTAATCAATGCATATAAATGAAAATAATCGATTTATAATGTAAAATACGTATACCAGCAGTTGTCTGAAAACAGAGTCAGATGGTCGCCTACTTAGAGCCACCGTTGTTTGAGCAGCTATAGAAACATTTTGTATTAATCAATCAGCAATTAGTTTTTTGTCTTCTTCCACTTTGTGCACCGCAAGATATGTAAGGTTGGCTCATATGGAACGAAAAATAACTTGGCTGCCTTGTAGCAATACCGGTATGTTAACAGTGATTGGCTGGCTAGCAGAATTGCATATTTCCTGTCTGTGTCACTCGGTGGCGCTGTTCCCGGAACTCAGCGGCCTGGTGTTCAAAGAGTCAGGTACCAACCACTGAGTAGAAGATTGTTCAGATTGGTTCTACCTGTTCGTGGGATGCAGCGATTGATATCGCAACAATAAGTATGCCGAAAGTCATTAAAAGTATCCACTAAACTATTGTCCCTTACTTTGCCACCATTCTTCGTGTGTTGTTTTGTGTGGTGGATAAAATTGGGCTTTTTGTGCCTACGGTGTACTCGCAGACACGAAATTTCGCCTGCGCCAAAAAATCCACAAGTGTTCAGTCGTTGGAAGATGACTGCACCTAGTGTTATCGAGGAACGTACATAACATGCCAATTTAGGTGGTTCTCGAGAGGCATACAAACGTGAACTAACCGATGTCAGCTTGTTTCAACGCCGGACTGTCGTTTACACCGTCTCCAGTCACAGCGACAATTGCACCTTGACGCTGACACCCCTCGACAATGATAAGTTTCTGCTGAGGGCTGGTACGGGCGAAGACGATCTCCGAGTGATTAGTGAGAATCTCATCGATTTGAGCCGGCGTCATATCACGTAAATCCGATCCGTGGATAACACACGCGTTTGCATCCCTTGGATTCACCTGGCGAACTGGGATTCCACGTTCCGCAGCGATATCATCCACTGTCTTGTTGCCTTCGGAAATAATTCCCACACCTTTGGCAATCGCTTTGGCAGTGATTGGGTGATCTCCGGTCACCATAATGACCTTAATGCCAGCGGATCTACATTTGGCGACGGCGTCCGGCACAGCAGCACGAGGCGGGTCAATCATTGACATAAGCCCCACAAATCTCATATTTGAGGTGGGGAAATTGGGGCTTTCCGTGTCAAATGTGAAACCCCTAAGAACATGGGAAAATATCAAAAACACGTTACCCTCTCAAATGCCAGGATAAAAATTACCGAAATAAGAAACGATGGTCAAAAGGGAACAAAAAGATACGCAGACGTAATAGTAACAGAGAAGCTGTCACACCAAAGGCCCGGGGTGGTGTACCGTAACTCAACTCCCTACGCCGACCTGGGCAACCGGGTACCATTGTGACCCCCTGCAAAGACCATGGAGCTCGATGTGTTGTGTTCGGTTTTTATGTTGCGATAACCTATTGTTTTCCATAATATATATATATATATATATATATATATATATATATATATACCAATTAGGTCGGAATGTTTCTGTTCTGCTTGTTGAAGGAGTGCGGCCCGGCTCCGTTGATGAAACATGGCTCACATCCACATGCCTCCCGGTTTATTCCTTCGGGTTTACACCGGACATGGGGTATGTGGGTGGAACTGTGGGTGGTGTAGCACAAGCCACTTATGGTCCTCTTTGTAGGCGCAGGCTTCCTGTGACTGTCCTCATGGAAGTCACAGTGACAGACAAATCCGGATACGGATGCCACCATATATGGTTGGCGGCATCCGGTTTCGGATTTGCTTGTCACTGTGGCCAGCCACAGGACGCCTGCGCCTACAGAGGGACCATGGGTGGTTTGCGCTGCACCACCCACAGCTCCAACCACACACCCCATATCCAGTGTAAACCCGAAGGAATAAGACCGGGAGGCATGTGGATGGGAGCCACGTTTCATCAACGGAGCCGGCTCACACTCCTTCACAGGCAAACACAAGCACACTGTATTTGGGGAATCAAGCACACACACAAGGCGGTGGCTGGACCGTAGTCCGCTCCACACTGAGTGCATAGAACCACTCTTCGAGCCTAGCACGACCACATGGACCGTGCACCCCGTCCCCTCCAGCAACGACCAACTGTCTCCTGGAGCCAGTATGGACGAGGTAGTGGGTAATAGACAGGTAGGCACCTTGTCAACATGCACATCAAGCGCAGCCACACCGGGGATATCAAGCAACAGCCAATCACTCGAAACGACAAAATAAAATAAAATAAATCCAATAATGCATACAGATACGGTGGCATAACTCTTCGCTAAATTAGCATATGAAGTAAGTTGGTCAGCAATGAATCCGCGATAAGGAAAAAATGTCCAAGTTACTCAAAAAGGCTACAAATGCAACAAAGTTGCCGAAGATAAGCGCAATTAGCGTAAGCAACGTGACCAGCTAATAGAAGATTATTCAGATAGACAAAACAAACCAAATAAAGTGGAATGAAATTTATGCAACTTAAAGAGACCTAGTTTAAGTGTAAGTTGGTTTAGCCCAACTACGGTGAAGAAGCAGCAAGAATGCAACATCAACCTCAGCATGGGACACGACCATATATATATATATATATATATATATATATATATATATATATATATATATATATATATATATATATATATATATATATGAACGCCTGCATGTTGCAAGACTATAAAATCATCGCATAAGGCATGGGTGAAGTGCATTCAAGGGCTGCGTGGCTTGTAAGTAGCCGCTTCCAAATGTGCCTGCGTGTAGTTTTGTGACGCAATACCCACAAATGACCCATGTGTGGCTTGTGCCGCACCACACACAGGTTTATCCAGTCGAGCCCTACGCAGTGTAAATGCAAAGGAATGAAACGTGGTGGCATCACGACGTCTTCGCAGTCGGACCACACACAGTGTCCATGGCCAAATGAACCTTCGCCACAGTGGCGCGCGGTCATGCTTGTCCAGGAGAAGACGTGTGCTTGCACCTTGGCGTTTGAGCGAGGCTGAAAAGCGGATCATAAGCTATCGTTAACACAAAATGATCACACGTGGACGAGACAAAGAGGGATGAATCAGAACCGGTTAAACTTAGAGGGAACTAAGCATGGCTTTGGCAAGAATAACGGTGAAGCAGATTAGCTGGAACAGTCGTGAGCGTACATGTGCGCTGGCCAGAGAGACAAAGGAGAGCTAACGTGGCCAAGTATGACTCGAGGTGGACAACGTATATGAAGCAAAAGTCGACCAGAGCGAACAAAACGTAGTTACAAATGAACACGAGCAGATCGCCGAAGACGCAAAAGTAATCAATGTGAAAACGTTGCCACAAAATAGTGCCCCTACAATTATGTATGTATATGCCTTGTAAATAAAGGATTTTAATCGTTGCCCAGACTTGTTTTGATTCCTGGAAGCTAATAGGACAGGACGCACATGCGTTTTGTGTCCGACCCATGAAAGATCGGTTACAAATAGTTATTCACGTGAAAAGGCAGTTGAGAAGCATCTATACTGAATACACACGAGACCGTGGATGAGGCTTGGCTCATTTCGTGCAGCGTAGTACTGACACAAAGAAAGCAAATCCGCTGTCCGAATCAAGTTATAAATAAATAAACAGTTTTATTCTTGATGCAACGAAACATACTAGTACAGGCATGATCAAGTGGCTGTCAGAGCCACGGAAACACAATAAGGGCATGTGCCCCAACGACAGAGGTAAGTGCTGGCAAAATACATGGCTCGAAAATGTCGTATAGGAATGTTGCAAAGAGGATGAGCATATTCATTGGAGTCAGATAGAAATGTGGCGAGGAAGCGCGGTAAAATCTATAAATGTTTCCGTTACGGAAACACTGGGTGGGTGGTTCGAATGGTTCCGGAGATTGGTATTCCTTTCTCCGTGAACGTAGGAATCCGATAAAATGTTTAATAAAAACCGTTTTGTTTATGTGGCACTGTGCTCACGAAGTTCGGATATTGAGATCATTACCAGTGGGCAGTGACTTTATTTTGCTGGCGAGTCACATACGCCATGACGCAGTGTTTCTACACAGACATTAGTGGCTTTTCATAGGGAGAACGCTTGCCAGGCGAAAACCCACCACGTCCTGGAACATTGCCGTTGGGCACAAGTTGAACAGCAACGAGCCACTAGCAACGCTACGTTAAGACCGATCTTTCGCACGGCTAATCGCAGTCATGGTGCACCTGATTTCCCGTTGGCTGAGCGAAGAGCTTGATCTAGATTCATCAATAACGGTTGGAACCGGCGGTATTGGACGAAGAGAGGACTATGAAGAGTGGGATGTAGGGTTGCGTAGGTGAACAGGAGTCTCAAAGTAATGAAGGTGGGATATTTCATATGCGGTGTCACTGGCTGAGCAGATAACCACCCACGGGCTGGATGGGTGTCGCAGGCAGGTTCAAAAGGAATAACTATCGCAGGTAAGTAGAACGCTTGCAGTAAGATAAAGTTTTTTAAAAAAAAGATGCTTCAAAGGTAAAAAGGATTTGAATCCAATTGTTCAAGCTGGTAGAAAATACCGATCAATAAGTTAGCTATGGTCTCCGGAATACACGTATGGCCGAAAGCAATAGTACAGACCAGAAAAGATATGAAACGCTTCAGAATTTCGCGTGTTACCCTTGCGCAAGGGCCATGCTAATCTTCTCTGTATCGTTCTAATTTTAGTATGTGTACCGCAGAAGCGAGTACAGTGTTACCAGACGAGTGGACACCGGGTCGAGATCCGTCCCGGGGTTGCAGTCAGACCTGACATCAAGTGGGAGAAAATACACGCGAGATCATTCTAGTATGGACACGTACGAGCGGCCAGACGAGAGCTGTGCCATATCATCCTCCGCAACGACATAATTATGACGATGGTCTATCGTTGCGCTTCCAACAAACATTGCAGAATTGCTCATCCGATGCAGAACGCTAAATGTAAGCAAAGTTCTTCGGAGATGATAGCCGGGGGCTGAGAACTACCTCAACTATCAACGTGCCATTGTCACGCTACAATGATGAGTCAGACAGCCTTCGATAAAAGCAAAGAAGTAAGTGTCAACGAAATGTTGTTGAGGATGACAAAAAGCATTTGGGACGGTGGTGACACACTTTGTTACACATAATAGGTTAAAATGTGAAACAAAATTATATCCAGAAGACCGGTTCATAATAAATTTCGGAGGCCGCATCATAAGGAACTTTTCACTGGGTGATGGTGAGTATTCTATTAGCGACGAGTGTGCATCATGTCTCGTGGAGCATAGAGATAAAAGAAAAAGGCTGAGTGCACCACACCAGGGATGAAGAAGAGCATCAAAAAACGCGATCTGTTTAAACAGTCGGTTTTACTTCAGAACAGGATTATCTGAGTTCCAAAGTAGTTGGCATGAATGTGAGGGCCTACTGCACGGCACTCGCCAAAACCAATCCCACTTGTCCAATTACACGCGCAATCTAAAAGATCGTGAGGACCTTTATGTATTTCTGTGCATTCCTTAGTCTTCAATTCGGTTGGAGCGTTGCAGAACCCTTGAACACTTTCTGGACAACTCAGAAGAAGGAAACCGGGCCTCGCACAACCAGAAAAAAACTATCGGCATTATTTTCTTGTGCATCATTTCCTTGTGTACGAAGCCACCCGACCAAACCGGCGTTTCGCTTAGCAAGTTGCAATGCCGGCGGATACCAGATGTCTATGCAGCTGCCTGGTAGGCAAACAGTGAAAAATGATTCGAATTCGGCAGAAAACTTAGTGAAGCGACTGACGACACACCACCAAACACCAAAGGGTAAATTTCATGCAGTACTCCCATTAGAGGTAAGCAAAAATGAGAGGCATCAGCGGTACGCCGATACGCAGTACCAACGCTCTGCTGCCGCGCAACCACCACCAGTCGCACGAAGACTAAGGACAATGTGAGGACCGCTGGATCCCTGCGCAGGCTCGAACCCGCGCTGTCAGATTACAAGACAGACTTGTGATCCTTAAGGCTATACAGCAGTTAGAAGCAGTGTTGGTGGGGCACTGGTGACCAGCAAACGAGCACTCGCTTAGTGTCTTAAACGAGCCGTGGTCATATATCTGAATAATACAGTAACACTGATCGTGCCGCCAAAGTGCAAAGCGCGGTGTTCAGCTGGCGAGCAAGAAGATATCTCAACACCCAACCCGAAATACAAATACCTAGACTTTTTGCACTCTCATCTAGGCAAATAAGCAAAAATCCGGCCGTCTGTGTATATGAGTAGGATGTGGAACAATCATTGAGGCTTATCGATCCACTACGATGATAGCCAGAGAAGACGTAAACGTTTAGATGAGTAAAGCGGTCATCTAAAATCGTAGTAGAATGCATATAGCATTGAGGAAATTTGGAAAATTGGCTATTTCTATTGCACCGCTGGATGCAGCACTGGGGAAAGGAGAGCACCTATGGAGTGCAACGACGCTGCATCATTACTGGTCGACTCTAAGGGCGTTCTGATTGGTCTGTCAAAATACTAGACACAAACGTATTTTCATCATGAAAAATGTGGATTACCACATAGTTTCCCTTAAGTTCGCCAACGTAAGATTTTGTGCAAAATCTGGACAAGGTCTAAACGTGTGCTAACAGGATGGCAGCGCGTGGGCCCATTACTGAGGTGCACAAGGCACCCCGAAAGGGCGCGGCGCACTGCACCAGCCCAATCAACATCACCATAATGATCAGTGCACGTTAGTTGTGGATGAGAAACATAAACCAGCTAATGTGTTGCAATACAAACAAGAGGATATTGGATTTTACAAACTACAAAAGTCAAAAAGCAGGTAATATAATAATAAATGTCATATCATACATTGGGTGTGAGATCGTTGTTGGACGCGGAAGCCAAAGGGGAGGTGAAGGGTAAGTAGACTCCCAACATAAACGCTATTGAGGTCGACTTCTTGCCATGGCAACTAGTGTGTACAATCAGACGTATTCATTGCCTTTCGGACCCCAACCCGGCAGACGGGTGACACCAAACGACGTCCTCGCGGTTTCCTCAGCCGGCGTGCGACTGGTGGTGGTCCCATGGTAACGAAGCGCCGTCACGGCGTACAGGTGACACATCATCATCAACCGACGCCAACTTCGAAGTGAGGGACTTTATTCCATTGGACCAAGTTATCGCTTGGCCTCCATTCCGCTTCTTTCATCCAGACCCATGTCGCGCAAATAACGCGTGAGTCGGTGCTAGCATGCGCAACAATCGGCCCAGTCGTCGGCGCCTGGTGCGTGATATAACTGTTGCGATCCTATAGCTACTGACGTAATTCGGAAAAAAACACGCACGGAAAACTGAACACTCAACGAAATCATGGCAGTTACAAATGCAACACAAATAAGGCACCAGTCCATAGCCCCAACTTCGGAAAGAAAGAGGACAAGACCTCAGACGCGAGATTTATTCGTACGCCAACACAAAACTCCAGAAAATGATGGAAATCCTTGATTGGTTTAGGTTATTCAACGGCCTTGTCAAATCGGTCAATCACAGTGCCTGTTTGAAACGGGAACAAATAGTGCGCCCCGTTTAACAAGCAAAAATGATGGTTTTGGCTGCTTTGAACGTAGTTCTTGGGAAATACGACCTTTCCTAACAATAACTGTGCTGAGACGCTTGCTCACTTTTCCTGTATCAAATACGAGACGATAAACACCTTACTGCTTACGCGGTGTTCCCACCAGAGGAACTAAGCTGCGAAGACAGCGACTGTCGAACGTAACTAGCCTCTTATGTCTACCGAGTTGATGTGTCGAGTTTCGCAACCGTACAAGGTTGGACGGAAGGCTGCATTTCAAACTGACTTTTAGGGCGAGAGTGATGTTGCACGAACCGTATAGCAAAAGCTCGGGGCGATTTCGCTAACCTTCGCCACTTATGGCGCCGGCGCGACATCACTCTCGCCCTGAAGAGTAGAGTGTACAATGCAGCAGTACGTTCGACCCTACTGTACGGTTGTGAAACCTGGCGGCTTAAAGCACCGGACCTGAAGAGGCTAGTTACGTTCAACCACCGATGCCTTCGTAACCTAGCTCACATTTGGTGGGAACACCGCGTGAGCAACGAGCGTGTTCGACGCCTTGTTTACGGCACAGGAAAAGAAAATGAACCGCTCAGCACCGTTATTTCACGCACCAGGCTCCGATGGCTCGGCCACGTGTTACGCATGCCAGCCACCGACTCCCGCGACATGCGTTGTTTGCGCGCCGGGGGTGTGGATGGAAGAAGAGGAGGGGTGGCCAAGTGATGACTTGGTCGAGAGAAATGAAGGCACTCACTTCTGAGCTGGCCTCGGTTGGAGCGTCTCGGCTCCCTGGTTGGGGTCCGAAAGACGATGAACGCGTTTGGTTGGACACACTTACTGACATGGCAAAGCGCCGACCTCAGTGGCGTTCGTGCTGTGAGTTTCTTTGTCCCTCCCCATCCCTTTTAGTCTCCCCCTCCAACCACGATCTCATTATTTAGCCTTATATAATATTGCATAGTAATTTTTTTAATGCACAGTAGCCGGCTGGTAGCTTACCGGAACGATGCCCATCCGTTACCGGTAGCTCAGCCGGCTTGCACCAGTTGCTTTTTTCTCCTTTTCTATGTATTGCGGCACAGTAGCTGAGGTGTTCCCCATCTCTGGCTAATGTGCATGATGATGCTGATGATGTTGCCCCGGCGTCATAGAGGGCGGAGATTATCAAAAGCGCCTCGAGCTTTGCTATACCTTTCGTGATCTCATCTTCGATTCCATGGGCGCTAATATAGCTGCCGACATTTAAATTTCTGAACGATTTCTAGCTGATCCTCACCAAGGGTCTGAGAAAAAACATCGCATTCCGAGGGTGCAAAGCATAGCCCAAAACGACGGACAGCCAGCGTTAACCTGCCCATTGGCACTTGGCATGTTTGGGAGCTATCACAGATAAGGGCAATGTCGTCGGCATACTCCAAGTCAAGGAGTCGGTTACCTGGGAGCAGCTCCACACCTTCTAGGTCGTGTCCAGCGAACGCTGTTTCCATAACTTGGTCAATAGTGAAGTTAAAGAGGAAAGGTGACATCGGGCAACCTTGTCTCATACCGTTGGAGATATTAAATGGCACCAACAGCTTGCCATATACCCTCACTCTGTCGGAAGTATGCGCCTACAGCACCTTTATGACATTCAAATATTTTTCAGGCACACAATTCCTCCATAGACAGTCCCAAAGAGCACATGGATCAACAGAAGCAAAGGACCCTTTGATGTCTAAGAATACAACTAAGGTGGGTCGCCAATAAAGATGGCGGTGACCCAAAATAAAGGCGTGGCCAATGCAGCCTCGTTTTCGACGCAACCAGGCCCGCTCTTCTCGCATTTAGCATTCACGAGTGCCAGTCAGTCCTACGGAGAACGACAGACCCAAGTGATGTAGGAATTGAAATCAGACTAATACTTAAATGACTGTCGCATTCTGAATGGGAGCCTTTCTTGGGAATGGTGACTATAACAAAGCGACCCTAGTTTGCTGTGACAATCTCCCGCTCCCACAGAGTAACTAGTAAGTTATGTAAATCGTCCATAAAAGGTCATCCCCCAATCGGCAGCGATTGCATAGAGGGGAACGATAGTCTGGGTGGCAACAATGGTGTCCGAATATGTAGCTATATTGATGCCCGAGAGAAGAAGTTGTCTGCTTTAGCTCCATCAGTTGAAATCGTACCGCTGAAGACGGGAACTGTGTAGCCAGTTAGAACAATTACTGATATCGGACAAGATGGATGACGTACCGAAACTTTTTTAGACAATGCGCGACGTGACACGTTGCGGCAAAATAGTTTTTCACCTTCAGCTAACGTACAATGATGATGGTTAGGTTATACGCTAATTAGTCCATCGGTGCTTGAATGATGCAGATACGTAAGAGAAAGCTGTCCAAGTAGCAGGCGTCAGTGGGTGAATAAGAGCAGAGAACCTGCATAATCAACTACCGTGGAAAAACTGACATCTCGCTGAACATCATGTTTTCGATCAACCCTTGAGGAACTCACTCCAACGAACTGTCAAACAAAGGAATGTGATGGTGATCTGCTGTAAAATAGTTGGTGGTAAGCCAGTAGTTACGAAATCCTGGGATGCCGACGAGAACCGAAGAAGCTCTAGAAGTCGCCGTGGCGCCGCGCTGACGAAACACGGTTAACGAGTTAAACAGTGGTTCTGCATGCCGCCCATCACCAACAGTGCACGGTAAGGTTACAACAGAGAAAGTGAAAATCCGAGAAACAACAGGGCAGTATAAGCGATAAGCCACTCAGCTCGGTTCAACTCAGTTAGCTTGGATCGGTGTACTGAAGTGTGATCAGTTGAGCCGAACTAACTACAACAATGATTCAAGATAGACGGATAAGAAGTAAAACTGTGGGACCGCATGGTTTAAGGTGAGAAATTAGAGGACGAATGCAAGAGTGCCCTATTCGATACGATGTCAAATCCATGGCACGATCGATACCGAGGACCTCGTTCGGAAAAATGACAAACATTTCGATGGATCTTTTAGTGCTCTTTAAAAACAAACTCATATGTGGCAGTGAGTTGCAGAATATGCATACCAGACAGTGATACAAGACTCACAATCTCGTTACGTCGATTCACTCACTTTGGAAAGCCATCTTTTGGCAAACGGAGGTCACAAAAGCCAAGCACTCGTTCACCCATTCCTCCCAACTCGAGGTAGGCGTTGTTGAATTGATCACGCATATCTTCATCCATCGGGTGCTCTTTACCCTCAAGAATGATGGTACTGCAACGATCGAGGATTCGTTCTGGGGCGCCTTTCATTACGACCAAATACCGATCGTCCCCATCGTTGGTTTCGTGAATAGACAGCTGGATGAACACAGCAACAAATGAAGCACAGTGTAAGAAATGCAGGTTGCGGTTGGAGTAGTGAATCCAAAAGCGAATTTGTGAATAGACCAGTTTCTCTGTTAGATTAGGATGTGCTCTGGCACAAACGAGATGAGAAACGCAAAGATATCAACAGTATGCCGGTAGTTCGTATGGAGACTTCGCTGTCATACGATCAAAACCAGCAGTCGCAGGCGAGTTATGGACACTGCAAATCCGCCTGTACTTATGCACAAATCACATGATCTGCAATGTAGGTGGTAGAGAGTTTATACTGAAAGATGCGGTGAAAAAATCAGTGCATTCCTCAAATTCAAGTGGTGCCCATCGTAAGTAGCCACCCAGAGCTGTACGAGACCATTCTGATGAATGCAGCTAGTAAGTGGTAATGACCACAGCATTAAAACCCAAATATCGTGTGTGCGGAGTATTTCTCACAAATGGTCGCAAGATTGGTCCACCAGTCGGTTTCCGGCGTGAAGGCTTCTAGTGCGTCACTGGGTTGTTTGCTGAATCTTAAACGCTTACGTTGGTTTGGTCATGACTTCTGTATGTCAGTTGATCAACTTCTTCGGCGTGCATTATACACCGAAGCCGCACCAAGTTGGGCGAAATCGTGAGGCGGTTAGTCCTTGAAGTAGCATAAAGGTATGAAGAAATAGACCGAGAGACTTGGTCGGAAGGGTGTATGCCGTTTTCGTGGATAGAAGCCCTACTTCAGTGTTTGCAGACATGTCACAGTCACGTATTCAGTGGCGTTCCTGCATTCGGTTACTTGCACCCCAAGTAATTAAACAAACACCCTTGGTTCCACTGTCCTAATATTTTAATTGCATTCAACCCCCACTTTCTTGTCGTCGTTGTTTCATGTTAATCTGGCGACGTGAGTTGTGGCAACTGGACCTACCACACTTCAGTGCCTGGATGATAGGATGCAATTGAAATAAACTGCACTGCTCTAGCGCTCAGTGGCAGGTGGCAAGCAGCTGTTGAGTATGTGGTCGGCGTAAAGAGTTATGGGAGAACACCTTATTCGGTCCTGACTCGGTGGTAAGCAGGTGGCCAATGCACAAAGTACGAGTGGGTATGATGGCTCCTCACAAATCTCGAGGATGCGCGTGCAAATGTGTGTGATCGAAGTTGCAACCGGGCCAACGGTAAACGATTCACATCGTAGATAGGTAAGGTGGAAATCATGGTCTTCGCATCCGAATGCAGTGTGAATGCAGTTAGAACAGTACAACCGACGTCTTAAGACTGCTAATGTGCTCCGCATGACTGGAGGAGCGATAGCCACTGTAATGGTTAAGTTGGTTCCCCGTGGGCAGAAGGGTGAATGCTTCTGGTCAAATCGAGTGCTTGACGAGTTCAGGGGAAGTTGAAAAACGTTCATCAGTCCAGCAGCTTCAACTCATTCGAGTTACACAATGCGGAACATGGGATGATACAAAAGTGAAGATAGCGGCCGGTACCGGCGGGATATCGTGCCACTAAGTTAGACATAGTAAACAGCGAACTTCTATAGTGAAACTGTAACGAAAATGGTTATATTGCCACAAACACCTTAAATAGCGGGGTGTATGCGCGCATGTACTCTGATGCGGCTGGTGGGCGCCAAATCACCCTCCGGTGGGTGCTGTGTCGGAAATTAGTGCTCGCAAGAAATAAGCGAGCATGTTCACACAAATGAAGTAACCGCTCACCGTTATCATTACGGGAGCCTACATCATGTTGACCGCCCAGATGCAATTTATCAGTGGATAATTTTCCAAGACGAGCGTTCAGATCCCCCGCCAGCACAACAGTGTCCGTCCTTCTTCTGTAGCGAAGGAGCTCGTTCAATTGGCGATAGAAGTCGTCTTTTACCGAATCATCGCTACAGTTTGTCGGTGCATAGGCAGCGATAACGAATAGACACCTGTTGGTCCCACGCGACTTCGAAGCTTTGAACGAGCCAGCCAATCGGACCGCACACATCCGGCTACTGATTGGAATCCAGTCAACCAGAGCAGCTTCAGTACGGGGACTCAGGGCAATACCAACACCAGCTTGGCCGGTGCTCGAAGCTGCATCGTCACCGGATAGGCGCAATGAGAAAGTGCTGCTAGTATCATCTGAAGGGGATCGCAAAGTGAGTACAGAGCTCGAGTCTTGCAGGCGGGTTTTCGATAAGCAGCAGATATCGATCGACAGGGTCTCCAATGTTCAGGCAAGTGCTGCTTGTTGACCGATTTGTAGCAATGTGCGTACATTGAGGCATGCCAATCTGAAAAATGATCTAGAGTTCTAAATGGAAGTCGATGAACTGGGCTTGGCCCTTGGTTGGACATGAGCTTGTCGACAGGACAGGAATGACGCTCCGCGTTCACATGTGAGTTGAAACTATGAGGTGAAAGCCTAGCAAAGCAAGGTGGGGGAGGACCAATAATTGGGGATTGAAAACTGGAGGATAAAAGTGAAGCTGGAACTGGACGGTAAGAGAGAAAAAGCGTAAAGGGGGGAATAAGAAGACGGGAAGGCTTGAGCAGTAGCATCCAAAACCCCTATCCACACTGCTCGATGCGGCAGATAGGGCACCGTTGATTATCCTCTGCGGTGGACAGAGCAGCAAGAAACTGTTTGAAGACAACATCGAAACCGAGTGAAACCCATTTCTAACGCGACAGATACCGCAGATTCAAGGCAGTATTAGCATACGCAATATGCGATCTACTTCAGCGGTTGCGTGCCCATTGCTGGTGATGCAGCTACCAAAGTGGGTAAATCGATCAGCTACATCGTGTTCCACGCTATCAAAAGTCAATGGACCACAAAATAGCTGGTGATCCTGTAAGAACGCTCTGCATCGTGAAGGTGGGAAGCACATGTCAAACGATAGGACCACTTTAGAGGGACTGTTCCGTGTTGACTGCGTCACCCTAACATTGTTAAATAACAAGCCACATAATTGGGGTTAAGTTCCATAAGGACGGATATTTGGGGTCAATGTGATATCGTGAGAAAGATATGTTGGGGTGAAGTGAGAAGCAAATTTTCGGTGATAAAGTGTTCGTGTATGTTGACAGAATCCTGAGTGCGAACAGCTGACAGAAGTGATACCCAATCCCATGGAAACAGCAATGCAAACGGACAGAACTGTTATCACCGAGAGTTGGGTCATCATGTCTGAAGTATACACTCATTCCAGTAGACAAGCAGTGCGCAGCGTAAACAAACTGTTTAACTGTCAAGATATCCTGCTGTTGTGAAATCAAAGAGTGAATGTGAATACGAACAAAATTAACCTGATATTTGTTTGTGGAGTTGAACGGAATCTCGGCCACTTTGGGATTCATCCTTCGGTAATTGGTCACTCCGCCAAATGACAGCTCGACACACTTTAGCAATGCCGATTCGGACGCATCGCCGTTACACTCGCGTTTTAGGACTGGTTTGTCCTCTTCACCGGACTTGAACTCAGCTCGATTGCACAACATGGCGATTCGAGCAAGCGCCATCCAACTGGGTGAGCTTTTGTCGTAGTTGGCAACTGAAAAGCAATCAGGAATGAAGTGACCAAGTTAGTGATCCGCAGAACAGCAGCATTCTGTGCTACTACTTCGATATCGTGCATCCACAAGTAGTGATAATAAGGGGCCTTGAATCCTAAGTCGAATGGTGGTGATCCAAGCAAATGAACAGCCAACTATGGCACCTCGAAGCGAAATGTTAACAATGCACGAGCAAACTAGTAGTAAGTAGAAGTCCCGATTAAACTCCACACGAAAATCTGCCTCGACGGGAAATCGAACCCCGGTCCATGAATTTCCGGTCCGCTGCTCTACCACTAAGCTACTGAGAGCTGGCGATTAGGTGCGCAATTTAATACGTGGCTTCTGGTTGGCGCGCGACGTATTGCCAATGAGCTCACAGTAACTGTCCTGGTGTGGAGTTTAATCGTGACTTCTACTTCCTACGAAACCTATGTTACTCACAAACATCCTTCAAACAAACTAGTAGCAGCAGTAGTGGGTAGTAGTATTAGTAGTATGTATTAGTATTAGTATTGCATAACGATAAAACCCCGAAAATTAAGCTACGGTAGACGTTTTGGTCCAAGGCGCGAAACGATTTGAGTAAGACATTTGAACCACTGTGCTGGAGATAAACAGAAGAGACCACAAGAAAGAGAGTACGCGCTATGGCATATGGGGACGGAGTGATCGGTTGACTGACAGTAGCCCGTTTCAACACTAGTCTTGTCAAACCTTGTCCTTAAAGTCGAACGCGCGAAAAGGACACGCGAGTGCTTTCGGGTCATCAGATATGAGATGTGACACCGATTACTATCAAGATTTGATTATAAACAAGGGTGGCTTCCGTTTATAATACAATCTAAGCGCGTAGCCTGTGATGGTGAATGCACCATTTGTCACTTTGTGGTGCGTGTAACTATATAGCGATTCAGACATAAAGTGTCACACAAAACCCGTCCTCAGTTTCAAATCTAACTGAACGCTCAGGACATGACAAGCAGCTCGTATTATCATTATCCTAAAGAGCGGAGGATATTAACGTTGTGGTACTCGTTAGATCGTATCGAAATGCACCCTGTGGAAAGAATGCGATCGCAACGAACAAGCAAATCCCGGGCCAGAGGTCAAGTGACACCGACCATGTTGAATGTGTTGCATAGGGGCATATCACAGCTCACTTGACTGGTCGTCTGTGGTGTCCGCATCGAAGATCTTCAGATCAAACCACATGTGGGCCACGGTCATACGATTTTGCGTGAGAGTACCTGTTTTGTCGGAACAAATTGTGCTAGTTGAACCCAAGGTTTCCACAGCCTCCAAGTTCTTCACCAAGCAATTCTTACTAGCCATGCGCTTGGCAGTAAGAGTGAGGCAAACCTGAAGGGAAGAGCAAACACACAAATGGTGCGGATTCAGTGAGAGTAACCAGTGAGCATGAGAAACAGGAGATTCTAATGAGTGGAGGGAACGGGGCACAATATTCATACATTTATACAATTACTAACGCTAGAAAATTGACAACGATGTTAGGTACAGAGGCATGCAAACAACCGCAGAATAAAGCGTGAGAGTATGAAAAGGTCGCTTGATTCTCGGTGGCGTAACGCAAAGTAAACGTGGTTTGATTATGAAGTACAGAGTAGATTCAAAATAAATTATAGTGTTTAGTGATGAGAGCAAATGTCCAGAGACACACTGTCGGGTGACATTCGCTGAAAAACACTAATCGTTGCAACAGAAAGCACATCAAATGGAAATCCGTCAAGTATAGTGAACCACTGAAAGGTGGGGCACAAATGAGAAAGATGGTAAGCACGGTTACTGAAGCGAGGTTACCAGTAATAAGTAGGAAAGGCAAATATTGTAAATAATATTGCGAAAGCCACTAAAAGCCAGCTACGTAGAATAGGATCGTGAGGCAAGATGATTGAATCCGCTGCATTTTGGCACCAGAGTAGTCGTTGATGGATCGAAATGAGCTGGACCGGGAGTAAACAGCGATTGCAGAGAACAGAAGGGACAAGAGCAAGAGGCCTATCAATTGCTAGCAGAAGTATCGGAATGCACATGGGCTGGATAAATGGATCCTATCAGATCAGATGTTTTCGCTATGTAAACTCAACGTGTGCTAGTTTACCGGATTGCTCGTTTATAGTCTGAGCTAAGAGGAATGTTAGTTGCTGCACTGACACCAGAGGTCATCGTGAGACTTGAATTTCTGATCCGCAAACAAGTGTGGTGGATTAGAGGAGTTCGGGAAACCCTCAGACATGTCATTCTCTTGCGCTGAATTGTCAACATTTTTTGTCATGTATCCTGAAAGCATTCCGTAAATGTTCGATAATTATTCTGTATCTTTTGGCCGGTGCAAATTTTCACTTGCGGTTTGCTTGCATGATGGATGTTTAAGCAACCATTGATGTCGGTGAGGAGGTTTAGAATAGAATCCACACCGTCCATCTACCCGATATTATTCCGTTTCGCTGAACAAGCCTAATACCAAATAGCTCGGGATAAACAAGCCGTGGCTAACATATGTCACAAAATCCATACAGTCCCTGCCAGATTGGAATTAGTTAAAACGTTCACTCATCCTAAGCTCGAATACTGCAACTTCACTTATGATAGCATGCGAAAGGTAGATAGGGAAGCTATAGAAAATTTAGAGGTCATTCACCAAACGTTTGCTCAATAGCAAATCCACTCTAAACTAGCACGAAGGTTGCAAACAACTTCGAATCGAGTCACTCTGGCTGCGACGTCTGAAGCAAAACTTGATGCTCCTACACAATCCGTTGCACCAGAAACGTACTCTTACCTACATAACATAGAGATAAGACACAATAACTATCACAGGCTCGGTAACGAAATATTTACGCTACGGATACCAAGGGCAAGAACATTAATGCGGTTCCTCATCAGATACACCGCTCTAAGGAAAAGCCTAGCAACCGTATTCAGGATACATGCGAAAACTCCACTTCATTCCCCACTAAACATGACAGATTCTTAGATCTAGAAGTGTTATTATGCATGTTCTCGTCCGACAACCCACCAGATGAAATATTCCAAGATGGTCCAAAAAATATCTAAAGGACTAAAAATTGCTGGTTTTAATTTAGGAACAGTTTCTTACACACTTGAGAAGGATATATATATATATATATATATATATATACACATATATATACATATATATATATATATATATGCATAAAGGGTTTAAATAAAATAAAGAACGAGGGAAACGCTGACTTCAAATGGCAGCCCTGCAACAGCAAATGACTTCAAAACGAGTGAAAACTGAACTTATGTCGAGGAGCGATGTACTTCCATCAGCTCCTGTCCGCCGATCTACAGATTCACAACTGTCCCGCAAACCATCAGGATCTTGGTCAAACAGGCACAGTACATGTTGGACAGCGTAGTTATAACGCACATGTAAAACTACAGTTTCATGAGTTTCATGCTCGGTCAACAACATGGTTCGTTAGAAACAACCAACCCTAAGCGTATCGATCGCGCGAAAGTATGAGCATAGGACTGCAAAAGTATGCGTTCAGATCATGATGGGTAGACTATATCATTACTGTTACCATTATTAGTGTTATTATCATTGGTGCAAGATAGATGCGAACCAGTTAACGGCCACACAGAATAAAGGTGTCAGCGGTAGGTCGAAAATTAGCCATTGGGCAGAAAACACAGAGGTAGGGTAGGGTACATTCTGCAAAGTCGGTGGTATTCAGGATGGTACTATCACTAATCACGAGTGGACTAGGGACACTACGAGGTCGATCGCACTCACGCAGTTTGCAAACAGTTAACCTTAGATTATAAGCCAGACGGCTGGCTTATACACAAGGCCGACTAGGTCTGTGGTGCAGTTGCGGGCCCGTCAAATATCCCCTCAAAAACGCGCCAGAAACTCCGGCAGAATGGCTGCGGGGAAGCTGGATCCAATTTCTCCCCACAATGTAGCAGTCAGACACTCCGAGACGCCGCCCAGCTGCGCACCTGCTGACAATGTTCTTCTACAAACTACCACCCCGTTGTGGTAGCTATTTTCCCTAACTTAACGACCCATACCATTGGCTGTGATTTGCCCTTTGGTGGTCGTAAAAGAGACTTCAGAGGACCACCTGTCTTGCTTCCTCTTCGCCTTAGTTGGGAGTCGGTCAGTCACGTGATTTTGGGTGCATCGTTAGCCGGGCAGCGTTCGCGTCTAAGACACTAGCGGCTAGGATCGTTCTCACGCTCGCTCAATTTTCGTCTCACCAGCGCGTACCCCGGGCTAAGCTAACGCCATCAGGTCAGCGCAAATCCGTTCGATTGGTCAGCGTTCCAGGCCGTTACCGTAGGTGCTCCAACCGTGCCAGTGACAATATTATCAGGCGTTCCCTCAATTATAACAGATGCCCAATCGAGGTACGCTAGAAACTTCACCTGATAAGCTATGAATGCCACACAATGTAATGCGTAGTCGAATCCCAAAATACCCAGATTTTCTTTGGCTTAAGGATGCAGACGGAACATGAGTGACCTGAAGTAAGTAGTATCTTCCTCATTTTCCCACAGAAGTCGGTAGTTAAAGGAAAGCGAAAATTTTGTATATTAACCGGGTAGTTGACGGGAAGCGGTTCCCGGTCGCTTGATTTACGCGTGGAAGGCAAAATCCGAGCACGGCGTTCAACAGATTGCATTTGATACCTCATGACACGAGCAGCTAATGTCCATAAAACAACCGCTCGCATAAGCGACGATAAACCCCAACCAAACTGCTAAAGTAAAATCTCTACTGCGTAATCCCATTGATTAATATGAAATACACCGGATATTGCCGGAATTCAGACACATATATGCGGATGATGAAATATCAGACACATGGTGAGATGGAAGACGACTTACGGTGACTGTCGCTAGCAACCCCTCGGGCACATTGGCCACAATTATACCGATTAGGAAGATTACAGCGTCCAGCCAGTGGTAGCCCAGGATGAAAGCGATGACGAAAAAGGAGACACCGAGAAACACGGCTACGCTGGTGATGATTCGGATGAAGTGGCTGATCTCTTTGCTAATTGGCGTTTGTCCGACTTGTAGGCCGGAGGCCAAATTGGCGATACGACCCATTACGGTGCGATCGCCAGTGCTCACAACGATACCGCGACAACCACCTGTTTCGGAAATAGGGAGATGAAAACGCAGACAATGATGGCAGTTAACATCAGTCGCAAATTTAAAACAAAAGCGAACCATATTGTTAAATGCTAGGAACAGCTAGCACCAGCTTCAAGTTTTGGGTGCAACACATGCGAAAGTAACGAATGGGTAGTGCCATTTTCGAAGTGAAGGCAATACAATCAGGATTTCAAAAAATGTAAGAGAAAACGAAATTGCAGTAGGACAATCTGATTTCAATGCACTGCGTGTATTCTCCTTCAGTTGTTTGCATGTGCGTGAAAATGTCAAACAGTTGGCAATGACCGAGCAATACCAGGTGGCGAAAATCAGCCGTCAGTGTGTCAATGGGAAGAATCACGCATCCTATCAAAACAAGGCAAGGTTGGCCACAAGGTCAATTTGTTTGCATAGATTAAGCGTTAGACGCCGGATGGCGGAGGCCTCAGCGAACCAGAGCATATACGGACTACATTGTCTGCTAGTGATCTTGAATGCGTTGTGGGATTTTGACACATCATGCAGTTCAATAGGTTTCTGGCAATGTAGCTAAGGGGTAATTTAGCATTAGTCAAAGGTTCCGCTGGACGTGGTACGAAACCCGGGTTAACGCCCTTCTCTCAATCCGGCCGATATACATGCTACCGCACACATACAGTTAAAATGGTAGGCGTAAGAGACGGCTGCTTGTGGGAGTGAAGCCTGCCTAAGTTAGATTAGTGCAGCAACTTGTCTGGTGTATCCGTCTTAAATGTTCGCCATGTGCGTCATTGAGCCAAACATTTGGTTCGGTTAACATTAAACAAGTTACGAGTTGACGCAACCAGGTAGCGGGCTAAATGTTAAGCGACCAACTTATTTCGTCAGCCCGTAGCCTATGGTAACAAGCTTGTCTCGTGATCTTGCAGCGCGGGTTAGAATCCGCGTAGGGGTGGGTGTCCTCGCAGTGTATACTCAGCCCGCCTGCGACGGGTGGTGGTTGCACGGCAGTGAAGCACCGTTAGTGCGTACAGCTGACACTTATTTAGACTCCATAGGGAGGTGGAATAACAGAACGTCGGTCCAGGAAGAATTCTCATCAGTACACGTCAGCTAAAGGCGAGAAACGCCTCAGCCTTTGAGCCGTAATACAAAAAAGATAAAATATATGAAAAAGTGGTGCAAAATATCATAAAATGCAGACAAAAACAAACAAAATAATGCTTAGTATCATATTGCGCATCGGTGTCGGATCAAAACTAGGTGGAAAAGATAAGCAGGAGAGAAGGGATTAATAAGCTCACAACACAAACATCATTACGGTCGGTTCCCTGTCATGTCAGCAAATGTATCCAACCAAAAGTGTTCATCGTCGTTCGGACCCCGACCCGGCAGTCGGGGGAAACTAACCAACGCCAACTTCAAAATGAAGATCATCATTCCTCTTTATCAAATCATCGCTTGGTCTCCACTCATCTTCGTCCATCCACACCCCCGGCGCGCAAACAATACACGTCGCGGGAGTCAGTGTGCTGACATGCGCAACACGTGTCCCAGCCATCGGAGCCTAGTGTGTGAAATAACGGTGTTGAGTGGCTCACTTGCTCATTGCTCACGCGGTGCCCCCACCACATAGGAGCCAAACTGCGAAGGCAGCGATGGCCGAACGCAACCAGCCTCCAGAATGTATACTGATTACACTGCAAATACAATCGAAATTTTGGATGAACAATGAGCTCATCCAAAGTACGTGGCACAATAGCATCATTGTTGTCTATCGGGGATGCCGTGGCAGACAATCGTTCGTCGCTGCACGAACAAACAAGCCGCATTTTTTGTGCGTAGAAAATGCATGTTTAGAGAGTAGCTGGTACTTATCCTTGGCACCAGTTATAACTGGTACCAAACCCAGAATGGTGACTGATGCGTTAGACCCAATAACAGTATGATGGCAAGCGTCTGTTCGCGTCGGGTAAACATCACACTGAAACAGGTAAAAAGCCCGATGTCACATGATAATGTTACGCTGCCTGACTTGTCTGGACTATTCGCATCAGATAAGGTTGATGTGAGATGCTGAGTATGTCAGAGCGACTCAACCCATTGCCTTTCGTATGTAGCACTAGGCGGATAGCATCGTCTGAAATAGTGCAACAGACGCTCATACGCAAATGTTATAGCGGGGTCGTGGCGGAATGAGGAACAAGTGTGTCGCTTATGTCGTTTATGGGTAAGAATAATACTTGCAGGCATTCAGCCAGAGGCAACGAGAGAGGGTTAGAAAAGTAAAAAAAGTCGGCGTGTGACCGACAATCCGAACGTCAATGGAGAACATTTGGGATATGCAGTGTGACTCCAGTGCCGTGTTCCGAGACAAATGAAGGATGAGTATATGAATAGTTGGCTAATGTAATGTGATGATGAGACCCCTTTGAAAAAGAACGAAGTCTATACACCAACCTCACAAACGAAGTCGATCGGGTGGTGAATAACTGGAACAAAGACAAAGCGTTTTCCTCGACGGTGGCTCACCGTCTGCCAATTCTGCGATAGATAAACTAGTACCAAAATATGGAATATTTCTGACTGACTCGAAAACTTTTTGGCCAAAAATTGATCAAATACGGCGAACTACATAGGACGCCAGTCACGAGATAGCGTTACACGCACGCGACCAGGTAGAATTGGAAAATACAGTGCTCTAATGGTGATCAATCATAGCACAGAGCTATAGAGGAAGGAACGGATTAGCGTGCCTTTTTATCCGACTAATGAGAGATGGGCGCTGGTGAATGGTACGGGAATGTTCAAAAAATAGCTCGGTGGCTTGCGTGCCAACAGTTGAATCAGCAAAGAATGATACCGGCAGTTACCGGTTTCCCCCAAAACGGTCCCCATCGCAACTTCCTCTAGCATGGGAATAATAAGGAGGAAAGCAAGAGATAGGTGAAGATGTGCGATGCACCATAGTATCTGAGATGGGGAAATTCAGAGAGATTAGAAGTAGGAAAGAGTGGAACAGCGTTGACCTGAAATGGGTGAAACGACCAGTAGAACATGTGACAGTAAAACGCATTTAGACAAATAAGAAATAAATAAAACATCGGGACCAAAATGATCGAACTTTAATAGTAACCGACTGTCGCAGCGGGGAAGTTCTCGGTGTAAGACATAGCAACGAAAATAGTCATGCCGAATGATAACACCAGCACATAAGCTTCAGCTAATGTCACAAACAGCTTAACAGAACCGAAGGGAGTGGTAACGGTGACAGCTAAGTGGTCAGTCGGGTGGTGTTGCTGTGAGCAGAACTGGAAGGTTATTAGGCAACAGGTAGCTGAGGAGATTAGAGGACACAGGTGGAAATGATGGATGCGCTTCGAAAGGAAATGTGTCGGAAAAATAAGGTGGCAGTACGTCGAGAAGCTGAAAGAGAATAGGTCGCGGTTAATACGAAAGATCGTGGGAGATAGATGTGCGTGACCCCGGGGCAAAACATGGATGGTAACTACTAAGTCAACCGTGAGCAATGGTGACACAATTATACACTCACCATCCACGGCATTGGTAGAGAAGAAGGCCAGATTTTTGGTCTCCAGTGGGTTTTCGTTGGTGTACTCTGCAGTACGTGATTGTGGTTCAGATTCTCCAGTGAGAGCCGAGTTGTCCACCTGTAATATGAAAGTGAAACTAGTCTAGGGTCTAAAGGACAGCGGTATTGGCTAGCTTTCTTGTATATTGTCACTACAATTGATTCACATCAGTTAACTGGGATGGTCTCTTTCTTCCAGGGAGGTCAGAGGACCTCACCTCCAACTTTAAATAGTGCAGTTGGTAGAGAATCCGGGCCAGCAGCATAAAAAATGATTGAGGGCCGTGATCGCGTTTCGGACATCAGCCTCCGACGGAGCCTCAAACTAACCGTCCATGGATCGTCCTTCATCATCTGAGTAGGGAGTGCTCCGCCCAACAATCTATACGATGCTCCTTATTGTGAATCATGGCACCCGTGCTGTCTCTGATTGACTCAATGACGCCTGGTTTCTTGGGAATGATGGTGCGGATTAGCTGGAAACTTGCGATAATTGCCTATGGTTATTGCCACTTCATTTACTGAGCCATAATAATCCACCAAGCTTTCTTGTTAGCACGCAGGCTCCACTTTAGTTTACGCTTAATAGTCCGCCTGGACAAGTGCTCAGAGCTAGCCGGAAGTTTGCTTCTCGATTCCAACAGGTTCACCGGCCTCTCCGATATCTAGTGACCGGTGCAATGAAGACTGAAAATACCACAAACAGGTGCTCCTGCGTCGTGCATGGCGGCCGAGGTCTCAGTGTACTGAAGCTCAGTGTCATTAAAACAAGACAGCGAAAGTTCGGTACGCAGTGCATCCTGGTAGGCTTTTCTGGCCGAGGGCTGAGATAACTTCTCACCTGCCGGTCGATGGAGACGTTTGGTGCACCTACCGGTGAAGTTATTGGTAAATCGACAGCGTATCGAAGGCACGATCAGAATTTACACAAGTATTCCAGAAAGGGCAACAATCCAGGATGGAACCACGCCACCTGTAACTTATGGCAGTGTAAAGTAAATAAGTAAAACGACAGCTGTACGCCGTAACGGCGCTTCGCTGCCACGCGACCACCACCAGTCGCGCGTGGGCTGAGTATACCGCGAGGACCCCGCCCCTACGAGGATTCGAACCGGTGACCTTATGGTTGCAAACCAGACGCGCATACCACTCGGCCACCGGCCAGCAGTGTGATCTATTCGTGCCCATCACTGACCAGCTATAGTACGCTAACTGGCATTTCGGCACCCACGGTCTGAAAGCAGTGCTACTAGGAAACAGTTGGTGTTTCGCGCACAGTTGCAACAGGCGCTCGCCATTAGCCGTCCGTTCACAGTTAAGCCTATACATATCAGATAGCTGTGATTCCGAAGAACCCAAGCGACCTATTGCGCACCCATATCCCCTGTAAGTACCATGACATAGGAACTGGTAACACTGTAAGTCACCATGTTCAGTTCGTGGTAGGGGCTTTTAGCAGCATCGGAACTGTAATCGGTTAGGGCATAAGCGAAAAGCCCAAACGTTTTGTAATACTTCGTGAAGTAACCTTGATCGGGTGCCGTCAAAAGGGCTGCACAGAAATGGTTGTTCACGTGAATCCAAACAACTAACGATGGCTCCGTCTTGGAGCTGAGAACGACGTCCACAGCAGCTTGACCAGTGAGAGTCGCATCAGCGCCCCCGGATGCGTACAACCAATAACGAGAGAACAAACCGGACGCATTTATTTCAACAACCCCGTGAGGGTCATTGATCACAGTTTCGGATACACAATATACGTCAACACCCAAGGTGTCTAAGGTGCGTGCGAGTGCAGCCTGTTGACTCTATTTGTCTTGAAGTGCGAAGATTGAACGCCGAAGGGAAACGGGACAGCATGGCTTTATAAGGGACTGTTGCCGATGGGCGTCCATTGGGTGGTGCGTGGTAGCTGTAGATGATTAGACTCAAGTGGCATAACGGCTGCTGTCAATTAAGCTGGGAATTATGGGAGTCAGGACAGGAGTAAAAGAGACAGGTGGAAAAACGAAGGGAGGCGTCAGCAGTACCATATTTCATCTATCCGCCAAGCTGTATGTAGCAGATAAGACGACACTTGATAATCTGCGCGATGGCCGATGCAAGATGGGGTTGAAGTTTGAAGTAGTCGTGTTTGTACGAGGGTTGATACTGTCAAAGCGCCCAGACCTAGGCAGGAGGAGGATTAAAGTCCACAAACAAAGCCTTAGGCTCAAAACCCTGTCCGAAAGGCAGCGAGGAGGTGGCAAAGATTTAGCTTTACAGAAATGGACGCCACCCAACTTCAAACTCCAAACCTGAGTCTCTGACCTCTCATCAGTGACCAACCTGGTTGGAGTAGTTCTCGAGTCGCCCAGGGCACCACCCAGTAATAGCAGAATGGGTCAAAGTGGTACCCAAACCGTCGCACTATGGTAAGGCCCAATCTCGTTGCGACAGATCACTATTACACTGGATCAGAGTGAAAACACTTATTTGATTTGATCTCTAATTTCATTCTACCGCACATTTACCGTCCGTTCTGCGTGTTCATTTTCTATGGTTTTCTGTGTTGGTTGTTTGATATCCCCTGTGGGGCTGCGCTTCATGTGGATGTCGATAAATTGCCTACCTGTCGAAACACCGCTAACCTGATTAGACTGGCTTCAGGAAACAGCTGGTCACTGCTCGGGGAGACGGAGTGCACAGAGTGGAATCCGAATCGGATGTCATCAGAGCCTAGTGAATAAGGCGTTTACGCGCGGCTGCAAGACGTTAAGTTTGAAATCAAGTCGGGCCATTTCAGTTAGGAAAGTCAAGCAAAGGCGAAATAAGTCATAGTTGGGAGTAAAAGTGTATGGACAACGAAGCGATAGTTCATATTAGAAAAGCGATATCAGTAATGGGTAGTAAAAGAAGAAGGACCCAATGTGAGAAAAACTGCTGGTCGTTGCTTCTCAGGGGTGAATGGCATCAGAAAGACAGTCTGGACGGTTGCTCGCAAAATGCGAAAGGTCAGCTTTGTTGTGGGTTAGATTGCGTCTATGTATATCTCGACGACATTCTAATCGCAAGCTCCTCACGCGAGGAGCACTTGTGCCAGGTGTGAATACTTTTCGACCGTTTATCCCAAAAGGAGTGAGGATTAACATAGAAATGTTCGTTTGGTGTCGACTCCGTTAGTTTTCTCAACCATTATATCTATTGTAAGCCATCAAGGATTAACTGAGGCTCATTCTTTCAAACGACTAGGACGTTTCGACGGACACGTAAAGAATGAATCAAGGGAGGCAGAATCAGAGTAAAGAATTCTTTTCGGTAATTCTCATCGGACTCAAACATTACATGATGAGGAATCGTAAAGTTTTATCGCCCTTTCATACCTAGCTGTGCTTCGTTTGCGCAACTCCTCACGGACCTTCTCCGAGGACATCTCAAGAAAATTAATTTCCCTATTGCAACACGCAATGCATTCCAGGCTTTAAAAGAAGCTATCGCAAACAGCTTCTGTCACGCATCACGTGCCGACAGCCCTACTATCGCCCAGTACCGACGCTTCCGATGTGGTAGTTAATGTTGTCTTACAGCAACAGGTAGGCGACACCTGGCAACCGCTGGCTTTTTCTTTAAACGCCTGTAACCTGCGGAATCTCGTTACAGCACTTTCGGTAGAGAACTATTAGTCATCTACCTGACCATACGTCATTTCTTATATGGATTATAAGGTCCCATCTTTGCCGTATTCACCTAGTATTCACCTAGTGCTTAGGTCGACAACCGACCGATACTACTCCTAGAATCGCGCTACCTAGACTACATCGCTCAGTTTGCGATCGATATACGACAGGTCTGAGGTGTGCACAACGACGTCGCCGACGCACTTACTCGAATTCAAGCGATCTCAGCTGATGCTGACACTGCTATCGGAGTAGCATTCATGGCCGCAGTAAAACGTAATGATCTCGAGGTAGATCTAATACGCAGGTCCACTTCACTGGACATACGATCCGTTTCGCTGACATCTTTAAACGGGCTAATACTTTCGACCCATCTATGGGTACATCGCGCCCAGTCGTACCACGAGAATTTCGACAGACAGTGTTCGATATGTTGCAAGGTTTATCTCACCCACGCGTTCATGAATCGGTTAGACACGTAACCAAACGATTCGTTTAGCGTAACGTCAATCGCGGCGCCACTGTTTGTGTTCCATGCTAACGTGAGAAGGTGCAAAAACACACGAAAAAACCCATTAGGCACGTTTCCACCACGTGCACATCGACCTCGTAGATTCTCTGTCGCTCTCGAAAGGCCCGGCCTATCTATTAACTTGTATCGACCTACTCACCAGGTAGCTGGCTATTCCGATTCCAAACTGCTCTACTGGAAGGATAGCAAGTGCATTCATCGTGAGCACCGATTGAGGGTCTCATCTCTCGTCCAGTTTTGCCACAATGCTTAAAGATTTAGATTGCCGCCAAGCCCAGACGATGGCGTACCATCCGGCCGCTAACGGCATGATAGAACGATTTCATCGTCAGTTTAAGGCAGCGCTCTGAGTGCAAGCAAACTCTTCATGGTGCGAAATTCTTTCCCTTGTCCTCCATGGCCTTAGAAACATCGTTAAAACCAATTTCGATGCAACACCAGCGCAACTACTCGACGGCTGCACGCTGCGTTTAACCAGACAGCTACCAGACAGCACCAACACCGTTCAGTTCCTCCTTCGACTACGGAAGTTACACTGTTCGGTTGGCTCAGTTGATGCGTGAGCTGCGCTTACCCGCTTCATGGTTGCAGACACCGGTATACGTGGCCAAAAAGCTATGTACTTGCTCAAATGTGCCGCTTCGCGTAGACGGTGTGTGACAGACTTGGCAGTCCTCGTACATCGAGCCCTAAGATATAAAAAATATAAGGTGTCAGCTGTAGGCCGCAACGGCGCTTGGCTGCCACGCGACCATTACCAGTCGCGCGCGGTCTGAGTATATCGCGAGGGCGCCCGCCCCTACGCGGATTCGAACCGGAAACCTTATGGTTGCAAACCAGGCGCGCAGAGCACTCGGTCACTGGGCCCTGCAAAGTTATCAACCATACAAGACATTTACGATCGAATGCGGGGACCGACGCAAACTTGTCACCATCGACCGACTAGAACCAGCGTTTATGAAGGGAAGCACCTCGCCTCCCTCGTCTAGCAATGATTCGTGCGACATCACAACTAACTGTACCAGTTTTAAGCATCCTAACGTTCTTGAACCTGATCACCATCCCGTTCTACAGGCATCAGCCGGCTCATCTTTCGAACCTAACCTGTAGTCTCCCACGACCAACCACAGTGGTATGGAGGTTCGTAAGCCTGTTCGCTGTTTGAGTATGTACAGTGTAAACATTGAATTTATTTGCCACGTTCTTCGTCAGTTAATGTTTTGAAAACGACTAAGCAAAAAGCTCCCGAAAACCATTAAAAAACCAAGCATTTAGACACATAATCCATTTGTTCATTCATCTTGCCGCGTTCTGCGTGCGTTTTTCGTCTTTACGAGCTCTAGACCATCCTTACAACCAACTGGCCCTCATGAGCAATGCGTTCGTGGATCACTGCAGTCCATGAGGATACCAACAGACGTTTCTTAGTCGGATGGAGGTCGTTATGGCATGCGGGGGGGGGGGTAGGCCACTTCCAAGCGCACTGTTTGGCAGTAGCGGAAGTTGAGGCCTAGTCGGCCATACATTCAGAACTAGCCAGTTTTATTTAAAGTCCGACAAGCCCGCTGCAAGGACTGGCCGGAATGTACTTCGTCTTGCAATCAGTAAATAATAAATAACGTCACGGGGGACACGGATTTCCGGCGAATCCCAATTTGATAAGAAGGCTCACACGCACCTTTGCTCGGTACCACTTTGTCCTACGAACCTCGATTCATCCAATTTTGACAGAGGAGGCTTCTTACCTTCAGACTTCTAGTGGGTAGCACTGCAACTCCCCATGAGATAATTCTTATTTTTAAGTGCAAGCTCATTATTGATGTGGTGTAATTATTCATCCTTGTTTTAATCCCCGTACACTATGGCTGTTAGGAGGAGCACCTAAAGAATCGACTGATGGTACTTGCTCTCCAAAAGAACCAACGGATTCTGCTAAGATTTCTTCAAACAGTCTCGGTTTCAATGAAAAGAACGTTCCCGAAGATTCCGATTTTATGAATGGCAAGTAAGGAAGGAAAAAGAACAAAGAATATTCAAGAGGGCCGCTCAATACGTACAAATGTAACCGCACGCTCCACCTTTAGTCTTGTCGTTCGGCGAAAACACAGTTCACAAGGTTCGACATTGTTCTTTTGTTAGCCACTCAGTGGCCGGGGTCGAACAGCCAATCAGAGTGGACCCGTAACTGTAGCAACGCAGAGGTCGACGGTACGTACAGGCAATTGGAGTGAAGCGATGGGTACAACAACTGGTGACAGATGCATTTTGAATTGAAGAACTCAATAATGTCGGTTCTTCAATGGAATAATTGACCTCCATTCCCCAGCATCAGCAAAAGCAATTTGAAGAAAGCCAATCAAGGTTGTTCCATAATCTTCTTAAGCGCCTGGCTGTGCATTAGACAAGACAGAGCACTGAAAAGCAGCCCACATCAGCGGACGCCGTGTCGAACAGTTTTTGCGAATTTCACTATGACCCAGATGCCGGTGTTACCTGAGGTGAGAAAACAATGGTGTCTGACAACGGGCCTCAGTTCACCTAAGCGCAGTTAACCGATTTTTGTGCGATTTACGGGGTGGGACATCTCCGTTCGCTTCTCTATCATCCCTAGTCAAATAGACAGGTAGAGAGATTCGACTACACATTCAAAAGAGCTCTGCTCAAAACAAAGGGAGATGGACCGATTCACGAGATTCTGCAGACCTTTTTATTGATGTACAGGATGAGAACCAATACGCAGGTGACGGGGGGAAAATCCCCGGTCGAATCGCTGCAACTGAGGAAGACCCGAACAACTTTTGACCTCGTAAGACCGCAGCAGAATTATAGCGCGGCGAGAAACCAGAAAATGGAACGCAAATACAACTGAAGGTATCAATCAATAGCTAGGAGTTTCGAAGTTGGACAACTGGTTCTGGCAAAAGACTATCGGAGGGGGAATATCGGAGGATACGTGGCCTAATTACAAAAAGAGACGATGATGTCTTCTATGAGGTAACCCTGGGCAAAGAAAGGTGGGTCCGCCATATCAACCGGCACAGAATGTGTTTCGCCAAATACAACTGAAGATGACTAGACGACTTCTATGGAAATAGTCTTGGATGAATTCAAGTTAGCGAAGACCGATGCAACTCCTCAAGATGAACACACGACACCCTGTGTTAGCCCTGAATGTCGACCCAGGTGGGCAGACCGATGCAGAGTCCGTGTTACACCGTTCCAGGTCAACCCCAGACTGGAATCGTACACCAGTGGACTTCGAACGGGGTGTTAGGAGGGGCACCACCTAACGAATCCACTGATGGCGCTTGTTTTCGACAGGAACCAACGGATTCCGCCAAGAGTTCTTCAAACAGTCCAGTTTCCAATGAAAAGAATGTTCTCGATTCTGATACTATTATCGGCAAGTAAGGAATGGAAAGGAAAGAAAAAGATTCAAGAAGGCCGCCCGATACCTACAAATGTAACTGCATGCTCCACGTTTTGTCTTGTCGTTCGGCAAATACACGGTTCACGAGGTCCGGCATTGTACTTCTGTCAGCCACTCAGTGGACGGGGTCGAATAGCCAATCAGAGTGAACCCGCAATTATAGCAATGTAGAGGCCAGCGGTACGCACAGCCAATTGGAGTGAAGCGGTGGTCATAACAATGGCCATGTTGGTCTGGGTAGTAAACACGAAACATTTATGCTTACAGTATTGTGTGACAATGAATTTTATCTATGTTTGTAGCTTACAGCCGTCCATTTGTTTTACTGAAGGTACCTCAGGTTCATTTTCCAATCCGCTGTAAGTCGTGCGGTGCATCGCTCTGTGGTTCGCTAATTGCCTTACAGTTCTTTGTAGCTCGTTACAACGCACGTCAGATCCGGTGACTACCGCTCGGTACAATACACGTTGGGTCCGACAACGTTCATTTCTGAATACTCGGTTCTACACCTGTATCAGGGTCAACATTCGTCTGCTCTGTGAGTTACTGCTCCTGTCTCGCCTCATTCATTCACGTCTTTTTGTAACCCCTGGAATAAAATACGTTGCGTCTGATTTCGTGTACCTTCTGATGTCCGCGCTCAATTACGCGCATCGCACAGGACTACTAGCTCCTAGTCCTATAATGGGACCCCGAACAGCACAAATTCTACAGGGAAAAATGATAAAAAATCTGGGATAACGGGTTAACGTAGGTTAAAAGATAGCATGCTCACTTTGAATGAGCTAGCAGAAATGATGCGAATATCAGCGGGAACACGATCACCACATTTGACCTCAATCAGGTCACCAACGACGAGGGATTCAGCGGCTATTTCTAGTTTGACACCGTTCCGAATCACCAATGCGGTCTGAAAGAAAAGTGGATATAAATTAGGCACAGGGTGGAAAATTTGAAAAAAAACGAGCTTATGACGGACTGATCTTGTATAAACCAACTTCGGCCCGGATAAAAGTGACAGATCGATTCCATCAGATTTCATCTACACGCTTCAAGAAGTCACACTAAGGCAGCACGTGCAACGCGGGCGCGTACGGGAAGCAAGTGGACAGCAAGTTTCGAGCATAATCGATAAGGTAACTGGAGGATATTGCAGCGTGTTGCCCATACGCAGTTCCAACACAAATGTCATTGGAGCAGAGCCGACGAAACGGTTGTCCAAATGCTAGGCTTGGACAGCTACCCAGACCACAACAACTGAGCACATATTTAACTAGTAGATTAAGTACTGGAACTTATGCAATGCCGGCCATCTGATATGACGGTGGAAGAGATCAGAAGTTAAAGGGTGAGTAGGCTATGTAATAGGATAGACAGAGAGAAGTGCTCCCTATAAGTTAAAAGTTGGAGTAAGCCTAATATGCTGTAGTGATTAGTAGAGGGACATCTTAAAATGATATGAAGAATGCTAAGTGGAACACGTATCAGTATGCCGAACTCAGAGAGGAGAAAAAAAGATGAGATACAGATAGTGAAGCAACTGGGTTATTGGTATGCCACTGGCTCTTCGCCGAATGTTTAGTCTCAAGGGGGAGCGCGGGATCGAGCCTATGCTCCAGAATGTACCACTGGAGTGATATGTTTCCAAGCGCGAATATCGGTTTGCATGATATGGGTGAGACTGAATGGCACAAAAAGCCACCACATTAATAACGGCTTGTACATACGTGTCAATAAGCAGGACAGCCCGTGATGCATATACTTTGGTTCAGAACAGAGCAGTAGCATCCGTCGCAGAGAGACTGGAACTCAAGGTGGTGTGATGGTCTGCGTAGGTTCGTGACCCATTGAGCTACGCTGAGTGGCACTTTCCAAGTGCCTTCCGAGCAACTCAATCCAGACAGGTCAATGGCTAGGGATCAGACTATCTCGCTCTCACAATTCAATCCTCTTCGGAGGTTAGGGAGAGGTCGATGGCCCTCTTCCTTTAAAACCTAGCCATGGGAGACTATGGGTTATAAGCTCAGAGCACCACGCACTGGGAGGACACCTTCCGGTGCTCAACGATTCGCTACCACCCACCTCAAGCTAGGCAGTCCTTGGTCAAATTGGTGTAATCCCACCAAATCCCACCTGCGGTTGGCCGGGGTCGCAGGTGCGCAACATAATGCGGTTGTAAAACATGTGCAATGTTCTAAACCTGAAAAAGCTGTGTGTGACAGACCTCAAGCAGATCCCAATGGGCCTCTGCAATTACACTCCTTAGCTGGACTTGCTCTCCACTGTCTGTTGGATCAAGCTATTTGAGTCAAAGGCTCCGCGTAAAATCCTTCAAGCGAATCTTCATGTACTCCACTGCCGTGCGAACCAGTGTTGAGCTGAAGGCTAAAGGGAGGGTACTTGCAACGCAACCTCTCGAGGAATGGACAGCCGGAGAGTATAATCTGCCCTCTAGACCCTTCCACTTCTTTATCGCTCCCCTCTCAACTTTCTTTCATGTCTATTGAGAGAGCGACCGGCGCTAACCTCGCCGTTGCTGCCATCGATACATGCAGCTGTTCCATTAAATCTAGAGTTTTATGCTACACTTGTTCTCTTGACGTCCGCACTCTAGGTCAGATCGACCAGCAGACAACACTAACTCCCACTTTTTCCTCTCTTAGTAATGATGTGCGCTGTCACCGAAAAACGCATACAATATAACAGTGTCGTAACAAATCCCCGACTCTCTGGTTCTGAATCTGACGATAATGACTAAACTATTTGCGTTTTTGGCGATACTGAGTCAACGACTCAAGGTATTTACGGTGTTGGTATTGCTCTTAACAAGGATGCTAAAGGTAACCTGTTCGAGTAGATGCCAGTGAACGCCGGCATGGGTGCAATTCGACTTCGAACCTCTACTGGAGTTAATAAGCAGCATCTGAAGACAAGGTGCCTTTTCATCGCTTCAGTTAATGCTCCGACTGAATGCAAGGCGACGAATACTGACATCATGAACGTTGGTGGTGACATGAATACCCAAGTGGGTCGTCTTTCAGACTTTGAGCAGCACCCGGGTGGCCTTTTCGTAGTCGATGCACGCCGAACAGACAATGGCGATCGATTTCTGCAACTGTGCACCGACTACAACGTTTATCTTAGCAGCGCTGCTTTGAAGTACAAATGTTCACACCGCGTCACCTGGTGCCCACCTTATTCCTCAATAAGCTGGACTCAAATTGACCATATTGCCATTAGCTACATATGGCTCACATCAGTTCAACATTGCCAGTCAATTTGGAGCATGTGTCTGAATTCTGACCATGCTTTAGTAAGCGCAAGCTTGGTGTTCACTCTTCGCACTTCAAAGAAGTACCTATATCTCTTAATGTTACCTATAACGAACTCGCAGTCTGTAGTTCAACAATATCATGACGAACTGGCCCATTCATTGCAAATGATCAATGAAGTTGGTAAGCCGACTAGGAGAGTCACCAATATGCCATGGAGAATGTCTCTGACGCTTGCTGTGCATCCAGCTTGGGACGCCGTAACTGCAAATGGATCAACCAGCTTGATCGAAGCACGAATGTGCACTGAGTTCTAGCGTGTGCGTAACTCTGAAACGACATGTGACAGAAAGTCTTCGAAATGATCGGGAACGTTGGTGGTTAGCGAGGGCCCGTGAGATGGAGAAAGTCAATGCTGTTAGGAACAACGGAGTGCTTTTCCAGCTTATCCTGAACACGAGTCAGATAAATCCATAAGTTAGCGAGACAATAGCTGCGAAAGATGGGCAGTTGATCCATTCGCAGCGTCGTCGATTAGCCCGTTGGGCGGAATATTTTGAAGAACAGTTCAGCAGGCCTGCTGCGACACTGACGCTTGTCAAATCGCCTGAGTTGACGTGGGATGTAGATGTCATACCCACCCACTTTGGATGAGAGTCGGCATGAGCTTTCCGGTTTGAAACGAAACAAGACTCCTGAACCCGACGACCCTCCTCATATTTGCTAAATGATGAAAGTGAATATCCCTCGACTGGACTTGCTTCTCTATTTAACACGATTCTGAACACCACAGAGTTGCCTTCAGACTGGCGAGTGTCAATTGTGTGCGCATCATCAAGAAGGATCAGCACACGTGGTGCGAAAAGCATCGAGGCACTAGCGTTGTTCCCACTGCCACCAAACTTCTCACGAGTATCATTCTCTGACGAGTTACTGGTGTTCGTGAGAATCCAATCCCGGAAAGCCAGGTTGGTTACCGCCACGGTGGTGGTAGTATCAACCAAATAGTTGCTCTTTGCCAAGTTTTAGAGCAAGGACACACACAAGAATTGGAAGCCGCCTTCGACTCTGTTGCCCGCGCCAGCTCGTGGCACTGCCTATCCATGAAGGGTGTGCCGGCTGAATTCGTTTCCATTATGCAACCTCTGTACTGTGCCTCACGTGGCCGTGTAAGAATCTATGGGAAACTGTCTCCTGAGTTCTCCATGAGAATTGGGGTTCGTCAGGGTTGTCTCAAATCTCCTTTCCTCCTCAACTTCGTGATCAAAATGATTATGAACGAATCGGTTCTTTCAGATTCTACCGAAGTGGAGGTCCTGCCAGGCGACCGACTGACAAATCTGAAGTGTGCGGACAACATTGCTCTCCCTGGGCCGGACCAAGTGACTATACAAACATTATTGGATAGACTTACGCGTAGCGCCGCACGTCTCAGCATGTGCCTTGCGCCTTTAAAGTTCAAAGTACTGTTGCAGGAATGGACCGATACACCGGTTCTGGCTATCACAAAACAGCCAATGGAAGTGATGGATAGGCTTAATTACCTCGCTAGCTGTGTCGTCTCTGGTGGTTACGTCACTAAGGAGGTTATTTCGCAATAACAGCAAGACCCGAGTGACTTACCAGAGACAGCGTTCTATGGAGACAGTGGGATGCTAATCGGTCAGTGAAGAGCAGGGTGCGTAGCGCTGCGGCAAGGCGGCTTACTGCATGCATCGGAGGCCTGGCCAGTTCACGGAGGAGAAAGTAAACGCTTGACCGTGTTTAACCACCGGTGCTTGCGGAGCATCGCTCACTTCTAGTAAGAACACCGGGTGAGCGATGCTGAGGCCCGCCAGTTGATTTTTGGCAATAAGCCTTCTGGTACCCTACTAGAGTATTTAATGAATCATAATTGCTTATGTTGCCTAGGTCATGTATTCCGTATGTCAGCTGATCGGCTTCCTCGGCGTGCATTATATGCCGTCGCCGCACCAAACTGGGCGAAACCACAATGTGGCAAGTACAGTAGGTGGCATAGAGGCATGAAGAAATTGACTAAGAGACTTGGTCAGAGGAGTGTGTGCCACCTTCGTAGATAGGGTCCTAGGAATGGTCTACACCAACAGTTGGGGACCGCAGCAGACATGGCGCGATCACGCAGACAATGGCGTTCTTGCATTCGGTTTCTCGTATTCAGTTGTTAAACCTCGTTCCATCCTGATTAGTTTAACGCACCTCCTTTTTGCTTCCATACACTTTACACACTCTTTGCATTCAACCCCATTACCTTGCCGTTGTTAGTTATTGTTATTCTTGCGGTGTAAATCGTGGCAACTGGATCCACTGCACTTCGGTGTTCGAAACACAGTAGCAAAAAATAAGTAAGGAACCATGGTTGGTTGACAAGAGCACCTCAACAGAAGAGGGTAAAGAATTTCGTTTTCGCTTAGGTTCGAAGTCACTGTGACTGTGATTTCTCAACAGTGTGTGGTTTCCCAGTGCAGGCCCTAAGGTGAAGAAAGGAAGGGATCAGCAGTATGTCCTACTGAGGCCTTGCTGTTACGCAATCAGCACCAGTCACCTGTGAATTAAGGGTACTCCGAGCGTCGGTCGGTCCCCTGCATAGGCTTGAACCGGTGACCTTCGGGTCAGAAAGCAAGTGTGATCCTTTCGGTCAGCGGCCACGTGAGCGCTTGCATAACCCATAAGTATATGCAGCGCACCCTACACGTATAGTCGAAGCCACACAAAGGCGCAGTTAATAGAACTAACGGTGGTGGTCGTTCAAGCTGGGGTCAAAATTTAGTTGGCACATACTTTCGTGAAAATGGCCCCGTCGTGCGAACCACATCAACTTCATGCTGTTAATTCCGCACGTGTTTGAGCGTCATAGAAGTGCCTCTGTCGATATGCAGCCAATTATGGGTGTATGGCAGCGTAGCATCAGTACAAAATACTGACGTGGTTGTTGAAGATTATGCGAAATTGAAGGTGGTGGGGACAGATGGAGAAGACGGACCAATATATAGGGTGCTCCGGACGACTAACTTTTCACCAAACCGAAAAGTAACTTAGAGATTTTGAGATGATCACTATGGGAGAATGAGATTTGTCTTTCGTTTAAGTAAAATGTAAGAAAACAACATAAACAGTGTAAAGAAATTAAAGCTAAAATAATGGTTCAAAAAAATACAAACCTGTGGAATCATCTTTTTGAAAGATTCCATGATGCGTGAAGACTTTGATTCTTGATAATAAGAAAAGCAACCGGTGATGATTACAACAGCCGTCAAGACAATGCCCAGATAAAGCTGAAAAGCACATGCAAGAAAGAGTTGATTTACTGTAAAGTCGACCAGAGCAGGATTGGTATTGCCAATGAAGCTGCAAATAACCCAAATATGGACAGGAACATGACTGCTCACACAATGTAATTATTCCGATTGTTCAAGTTCATTCATCGTTCGGTGAGTCGTGATTCGATGCATTTTTGAAAACACCAGAGAATACATAGTGTCTTGGTAGACAAGCAAATAGCGTATTATTTCCCAAAGAGCTAAATCTCATGTGATCAGTTGTTGGATGGCTGTTAAAACTTTTAGACAAATACTGGGACTCTGCCCTTTACACACTGAAACTAACGCTGGTCTCAGTTAAGGTACGTGTAAAAAAGACGATTAAAATAATACCAGAATCTACTTGTCGATTGTATGCCATTTTAATATAATTCAAGCTTTAAGAGCAAACGTTTGCTTTCTGGGAAGAACTGGTGTACTGCTCCGAGTTTGGTGATGGAATTGCTGCAATAAGCCGCAGCAAGCATTAAGAGATTGTGTTGAAAAGCTCAGGAATCTCATTTCGGCTGATGGCTATATTTGTGATCAGTGCTTAGGTGGATGCTTCATTAATGTGTGAAATGCACAGATAACGGCGATATGGCCAAACCGGACCGAGATCATCGTACTGCTCAGTAGATATCTTGTGATGAGATCTGAAGAATTGTGCTAGAGGATCGCGCCATTGAGAGAAAGGTCGCGATAGACACACTCAGAAATACCAATGGTCATTATCAATACGATGGGCATCAGCTCCAAAACCGTCCAGGTGTTATTCGACCTGGACAAGAGGGGCAATCGGATTTTCATGCCCTCGGGGACGAATGCACTGTCGTATCTGTAGCCATGCAGAATATGAGTTCAATAGAAGTTCAATAGAAGTAAACGTTGGCGACATGTGAAATGCATTCATCAGCCGTATATGGAAACCCAAGATCCGAATCTTCTGACTACGTCCACTAACATAGGAGAAATATGCAAAAGTCGAATTGCGCGCACGCATTTAGCCGAATAAAACCATTTGAGAAATTCCCTGTCGGTAGTGCTGGTAGGCGCAAAGTCGACGCTGTAATTGCCTGCAGCCAATGATTCCGTGTTGCTGAAGTGAAAGAAGGTAGACATTGTCACACTAACCCGAGCATGGTAGACAAGGGTTAGACAAAACGACGGAAAATTTAAGCATTGTTCAGAATCGTAGAGCGCATCTACTAAGCGGTGTAAGGTAGAAACAGAGGTTATCTACTGAACGATATGAAACAAAGCACGGAAACTTTAGGGTTCAAAGAGAAATGACACCTCTGGTCTGAAAGACGATCTAGGTTGCTTTTTGGTCTGGCTGATAGTTGTCGTCGTCGGCGTTCCTTTAAGCTCATTTCCAAGTGTGGTGAATTGTTCAGTCTCTGGCTGAGTTCGTCGTTACTAAGCACTTCAGTGCATGTGATAAGTTTTCAGCAAATGTTTTAAACGACCCTTTTTATCGCCCTCACTCTGATTTATCTGAAGTCCACTCCTGCTCATCTACTCGCTTTAAATTTATGGTTTTGTTTTTCGCAAAAGTTATCACAACTCTATCTTACCGTATTCATCCTGTTTTGTCGTGGACTCCAAGAAACTTATCAGTCCCATGCGTGAACGCTTACTTGAGTGATGGAGGTTGCAGCTTTTCTGCTTCTTACGCTTTAATTGCAATTCCATGTTTACGTTATGCCTCACGACATCCGCAGTGCCAATGTAAAAATACCGAAAATGTTCCCAGTCGGGTTCATAAAGCCTACTTTCACTTGACTTAATCAGCAGTACGCCGGTACGCAGCACAGACGTTTCGCTGCCGCGCAAAACCACCACGTCGAACGTGGGCGACAGTCGCCCGGTCCTTACGCTGGCTTGAACCCGCGCCCCTCGGATTACAAGGCAGAATTGTGATCCTTAAGGCTACGGGTCGACCAAGATCTCTGCAATTAAGAAGTTGTATAGGCCTGGAGGCGCAAGAGAACAATGTCACACCGCCTCTGTAATGAAGAATAAGAGCATCGAAAAGGCTCTGTATCTAAATCTCTGAGCAAGACGCCACGGGCAAAAGTGACAACTCGCACTAAAAATAAGCATCAACATAAGGACGAAGGTAGTGGCACATGGCACTTATTTGAGACGGTTCAAACAACTAGCAGAGCGCATATGGGGAAAATTCACCGTGTGCTGTAATGGTGGCCGATCTGACACCAATGATTCAACTTTCTTCAGAGTGAATTTGCCAGGGCAGCACGAATACTAACAGATGAGTAGACGGGAGACCGTATTTAGTACACTAGGACCGCGATGATTCGTATGACTTTGCTAGACCTTTTGTATAAAACAGCGGGTACTCGCAAGTCAATGACACCACGCAAAGTTTCAAGTCACAAATGTACTGCATCTGAACTAGCCAGTCAAAGGTTATTCATAAAACATACTATGGTACTGAATACGTAATGCGCCAACCCATGTAGACTCAGCAAAAAGGCAGAGTTGCCTGAAAAAATTGTACAGTCGGATTTTTGTGTGGTTGTACTGTGAGACCAATGACCAAAGAAATCCCGTGTCTGGAACCGTATGTGAATTGCCTCAAATGCAAAAGTCGCAACAAACAACGCAAAACAATTGATGTATCCGCAGTACGATCATCGATTTTTCACCATCCGATAGGTTCACATAAAAAGGCATATGGTACTACATTAAGTGTCCAGATATTAGTCGCGAAGTTCAAAAAGCGAGGAAAAGTGTAACAGACAGAGGAAGCCCACAAAAATAAGAAATTAGGGATGTGTTAACGAATGGGAAGCGATCATTTTTATGGGGGTGGAAAAGTGCTTGTAAGTATTTCATCACGAACATGGACATACTACAGCGGTAGTTGTAGCTACAAAAGACGACGTAACTTATCCACCACTGAGGTATGATTACTCATTATCTGACCAGAAAATAGTGCACTTTGCAGTGCTGTTCGGCAAGGTAAAAAAGTTAATGAAAGGGTAACACATCTAAAAGTCAATAAGGCCAAATCGTAAGTGACCGGAACATCAATGATCGAAATAACGCTTATAATCATATACAATTCACAGAACAGAAGCATTTAACCATGTTGTATAGGAAGCGCCACTCCCTAACCGTCTCGAAAGTGGCAAGTGTAAGTGACAGTGTAAGACGAGTTAATAACCGTTAGCACAAAAAGGTATTTGATTGCATCATCAAGGTCACGTGCACAACTTCGCACCGAGCAACGAGACTGGAGTTTAACGTGGTGCAACGGTTTGCGTACCTACTTGACCCATTGTGCTATACTGTATGGTGCCTCCGGGCACCTTGAGAGCTACTCCTACCAGGTTGGTCAATGGTGAGAGGTCAGACAAACTCAGTCTCCTGGTCCTCTAGGTTGGGGGTTTGAAATGGGATGGCATTCATTTCTGTAAAACTAAATCATTGCCATCTCCCCACTGTCTTGCAGACAGGCTCTTGAGCTAAAGGTTTTGGTTGAGGACCCTAATCGTCCTCCTGTCTAGGTCTGGGCGCCCTAGCAGTATCTCAGTCCACATACAACCATGAGTTACTTACTTTACTTTACTGCGGCTAGCTCCTGCGACAGGATCAGCCGGCATCATGGATGTCGCGAATTGCAGCTGCCCAAGTGCAGCGATCGGCTTTAAGCTCCAAGCAGATACTGATGCAATGATTTCTCTAGCGACGAGTACCAACGCGGAGTCCAAGAAGATCGACATCCGAGTTCACTACAGTAAGCCACATTTTCAACTGTCCACCACGACGACAACAGCAACCATGGCAAGGCGAGGGTGAAACCATGGACCTAGTGAAGTCAGTGTCTGGTCGGCGGAAAACGTGATCGAAACACTGAAGTCTGCGGCGTTGGATGCACGGTGTGAACTTTGGAAAACCGTAAGAGCACTTACGGATTTCATCACTGGTGATACGCTCATGCCACTGCGTTCTTAAGATAAGCCTTAGACAAGAATGGTGGAAAACTTCCAGCTTCCGAGTGTCTTCGGATCGCAGCGGCTATGTTCCGCAACCATAAAGTAAAATGGCACGAATGGTTGTTCAGAATACTCGGATCTTTGTTCTCAGACTAATTTCCGTCCTTCGCCATAATGTGTTTCACAGTTATAAGTAGGATGTTCTAGCACCGTGAATACGATTCCGGATTTCGGATGTAGCGGATGTAGGGGAGTATAGTGGATCTAAGATGAACTCAAGAACAGATTCGATGTGTTGTCCAAGTAAGGAGAGCAACGGGGGTGGACTGGGTGGCTAACGATGAGAAGTATTTCGTCACGCTGATGTTAATTTCGAGGCCAATCATAGAATCATCATCATCATCCTCATCCCCATCATCATCATCATCCTCATCCCCATCCTCATCATCCTCCTTCTCCTCCTCCTCCTCCTCATCATCATCATCATACACGTTGGCTAGAGGTGGGGAACACCTCAGCTACTGTGCCGCAATAAACAGATAAAAGGAGAAAAATGCAACTGGTGCAAGCCGGCTGAGCTACCGGTAACGGATGGGAATCGTTCCAGTAAGCTACCAGCCGGCTACTGTGCGTCAAAAAATACTATGCGAACTTATATAAAGCTAAATAATGAGATCGTGGTTGGAGGGGGAGGCTAAGAGGGATGGGGTGGGACAAAGAAACTCACAGCACGAACGCCACTGAGGTCGGCTCCTAGCCATATCAGCTAGTGTGTCCAATCAAACGTGTCCATCGTCTTTCGGACCCTAACCAGGGAGTCGCGACGCTCCAACCGAGGCCAGCTCAGAAGTGAGGGCCTTCATTCCTCTCGACCAAGTCATCGCTTGGCCACCTCTCCTCTTCTTCCATCCACATTCCCGGCGCGCAAACAACGCACGTCGCGGGAGTTGGTGGGCTGGCATGCGTAACACGTGGCCGAGCCATCGGAGCCTGGTGCGTGAAATGACGGTG